ATCTTACACATCACAACTTTGCTGGTGAATGCAGTTTTTTTTCAAGATATACGAGAAATTTCACACTACGTTGGATTGAAAATTGAAAAATAATGCTAACATCTTCAATCTTAGAAAAATTCTAAGTTTAGACTTTCAAAATTTTAACTCATAGGTTATAGATTTAGAATACTCAAATTAATCATTGATAAATTTGAAATAATGAAATGAATTAATTACTTAATTCATTGATGCCCAAATCACATGAAATATCTCAAAATGATGTTGATTTCAGTTCCAAAATGTAAAGTTAAAGTAGCAGGGATTATTCTATATCCACAATGTCAACTCTGATTTCTTCAATCTCGATTTGACTTTCCATTGGCAGAAAAGTTATGTTACATTAAGACCCTGAAGCCGATAAATAGAAACTTTTGATAATCACAAATATGAAAAATTATGAAAGACTATGTCACAACATGGGATATCTGCTCTTGATTCAAAATTTTTTGTCATTTGTCATACACATTATTTCAATCGTTGTCATTTCCAAAAATGCCTTAGACAATCGTATCCATAGATTTCATTGTGGATCTTACAAAGTTCAAACCTTTTGATTCAAGTCTTGTTATAATGTATTGCTTAAAAAAGATGTCACACTTTGTGTCTTGCAAAAAGATTATCATATCTTAAAAAAAGTCATAATTTTTCTTGTAATATGTGTATATATATTATGATCTTCTAAGTACATCACCTCTAAAATACAACTCTGACATCCACAAAATTACAATTCATATTTATATTTTGGTCATCCATGTTTAGGATCTTACAAATAGAAACATTCTATCATTGCCGTATTATAGTCATACAGATGAAAAAACCGAAGTATACTCCAAAGAAGTATTTAAGTTATTTCATCTATAATTAGATGAATTTAATTCTAATTGCAAAGTTTGACTACAACAATACATTTTAAAAGTCTATTCATCAAACTACATTCTTCAAAAACTATGTACAACATCCATGATTCGACACTTTTAACTTGAATTTGGCAAAGAATCCATCTGTGCAAGATCTTGTCATCATACTTTTAGAGATACACAAAGAAATGAAAGCACAGTTTTTAGAAGCTCAAAAGTGATAGAGTAGAATTGCATTAAATTTTGAAAGCAAAATTTGAACAACTTAGTTGGAAGTAAAGTTTGGCTTTTGCGTAGCAATGTGACTCACCATCCGAGAAAAAAATAAATTATTAATATTTTGAATCTGATTTTGTGAATAAATATGTCATCAAGATAGCATACAAGTTTGACCTGCCATCATCTATAAAAATGCATCTAATGTTTCATGTTTTTTTTAGCCATACAGAAATTTGACTATTCCAAGACAATTGCTAGCATCTCCACCATCGATCAAGATTAAAGATGACAAAAAGTTTGAAATTTCTAAGATCATCAACTTTTGCAACAATACAAGAAGATTAAGATATCTTGTACATTGCCAGTGCTATGACGTACGCGAGTGAAGTTGTAAACTTGCTAAAAATCTTACTTACGTTTTCAAAATGATTCAAAATTTTCTAATCAAATATTCAACAAAATCAAGTGCCAAAGATATATAAATACAACACATCTGGATCAACATCAGCAGCAAATCAGGCCGTAGACATGTGACTATTAAAAGAAATTTTTGTAATAGATTTTTAGTTTTAGTTTTTGATAAAACAAATTGTACAACTTGTGGATTTTTTGTTTGAAAGAAATTGTTAGTATAATTTATAAGATTAATAAAGCAATTTGAAGAACTGAAATTTAAGCAATTTGGAGAAAAAATATTTCAGGTCTTGATTTTGATAAGATAAATTGTACAGCTCATGGAACTCGTTGCTTGAAAAAAACAGTATTCTTTTATACGATAATTAAAACATTTTATGAAACTTATTGCTTGAAAAAAAAAATTAGAATTTTTTTTATAAGATATATAAAAAATCTCATGGAACTTATATGAAAAAAAAATTAGTATTTATTGTATAAAATAAATAGAAAAATTTGTGAAACTTGTTGCTTGAAAGTTATTTTTAGGTTTTGTTTTTGATAAGATAAAAAGAACAACTAATGAAACTTGATGATTGAAAGGAATATTTAATATTATTTTTATAAAATAAATAGATCAATCTGTGAAACATGTTGCTTGAAAGGTATTTTTAGGTTTTGTTTTTCATAAGATAAGATAGAATAACTAATGAAACCTGTTGTTTTGAAGAAATCTTTAGTATTTTTTTTCATGAAATAAATACAAAAATTTGTGGAACTCATTGTTTTAAGAGAATTTGTAGTATTTCTTTCATAAAATAAATAGAAAAATTTGTGAAACTTGTTGCTTGAAAATAATTTTTAGGTTAAGTTTTTGATAAGATAAATAACTCGTGACATACAATAGCGGTGATAGTGATTTTCCAACTTCGGACTAGTAGCGATGGCGGTTTTCATATAGAAGACGATGTTGCTCTCTAACTTTGAAGTTTCTAGTAGCGTACTAGCATTATATAGACAATGTGGGCACATTGTACCTCATTCTGGTAAACACCATTTGTACCTACTCTTCCAATTTTCTCTATGTGAGTGTTATTCAGAATCTAGTGTAAGCAAAATCTTTAAGTTCTGGTCTATTTTGGTCTTCCTTTGAGGTATACCCTCAATCTAGTCTTTTGTTCTATCATAGACTTGTAATCCGCAACATAGATCAAAATATTTTGTTTCCATGTAATATTATCTGTTGGCATTGGTTCGGCCTCAATCTCTGGTTTTGTGGGGTGATGCTGCCAATCTTGGTAGAAGTCCAAGCAGACAAAGTAGTCCAAATATAAGAAAGTCGAGAAGAATTTTGAAACAGCAAAGAGAAGTAGGCTTTAGGTGACAGATGGAGGCAGACATGTGTTTTTGCATTACAAACCATATGCCTTATCGGTGTTGATCTTTTGAAAATCCTGTGAACATGCAACTGAAATAATTAAGAACAATCACGTTCAATACTCACTGCTGGCCCTTGAAAACCTGTTGCGAGATCATATTCTGCACTGGTGAACATATTGAATTTCTTCGGTTGAGTTGCCGTATGGAGGTTAAAACTGATCAATAGTCTCTTTGTCACAAGCCCAAAATTTACCCCGAATTAGGCATTCTCACACAATGAACATGGTAAACAAATTGGCCATATATTACTACGGTTTGAATATTTTCGATTTGAACTTCTCTTTTGACTTTCCAAGCGAAAATATATGCGATAAATATTTGTCAATAACCTCGTAGTGTGCACATGTAGTCTATTGAACCGAAGGTTTCCATATGTAGTTTTAAGTTGACAATGTTTGTCGTAGAGTAAAGTATTTGTGGTGATAATTAGCAAGTGTTGGACAAGAACTTGCTTCATCTTCTTGAGCAATATGCTTGTAGGAAGTTAAACACAGTCTGAAATAAATAAGCCCACTCAAATAAGTTGACACATTCCTAGATGCTCGTGTACGCTCAGAAATTGAAAACAATGATACTATATATTGATGAGCAATAGTTTTGTCAACAAGGACTTGTTACTTCCAGCGATCGTTCCACATGGCAGGCCGTGACGTCGTCAAATGATTGAAGCACTAAGACGTCTTTCACATTACATCACGTGCAAAGCATGAAATGAAACCTTGAAACAACATATCAATATATAAGTGAACCTAGATCAAACCAACCATTTCATTGGGCTGAGCAGGACTGAGCTCAGTGTAGCTGAGGTTGCAACTTCTGACGGTTGTTGATTGCTGCAATGAGTTGCTTGCCTGTTAGAGAAGCAAAGAAACGGAAAAGTGTCGGACTGAAACTATTCCCATCTAGTAATCATCAACTTCCTCTTGTCATTTTGACCTTTTGTTTTGTGATCAGGTGAGGCACGAATGATAGTTCTGTCTACTGTGCTGCTGGCTGTTTGCTATAGGATAAGTGTACTGTCACTCAGTCAATCTTTCCATCTTTGTCATTTCTGACAGTTTAATGACGGATTTCACCCTCGATATCTGTCCACCTTCCTCTTAACACTTTCCTTACCTTCTCTTGCTCAAGTTTAAATCAAGATGTTGACTACCGGCTTTTTATCTTGTCATGTGGTGCCCGGTTGACGCTCTGCAGTGCACTGCATATGATAGAGGGGTACTCATTGATGCTCAGCTGCCCTTGCTCTTAAAAACAACCTCTTTTCCGATGCTTTCGGTTCTACCGTCTCAATCACATTTACAGACACATGGTTGATAACTATTTGTTAGATGCACCCTACGTTAACACTTTACCTTTGCTTGTAATTACTAAGCAAGTCACTACAACAAACCAGAGAATCTGATATCCATGACTGTGGAGACGAATGACAAAGAGATTTCGCCTTCGCCAAGTCAACTGATGGAGCCCTTCTGTTTTATCGAAGATTGAATAGAAAAAATATTATGTGTTATGCGTTCAATACTTGAACTTAACAACCTACACTTCCAAACTTGCCATGCTTGACTACTTCCAGTTAACGGATATAGAGGTCGAGCAAATACTTCATGAACTCATGTCAGGGAGGTGGGCAAACAACAGTCAACCGGTTGACTAGTGTTCGCCCAGCCTTACTTCGAGTGTATTCATTAAAAAGGAACCTTGAGTTATTATTCTTCGCAAATCCTGGGTAGGCAAGTCGATGATCGTCCAGTTAAGCATCACAACATTCAGGAAACAGATCAGAGTCCATAAAGAGGATAGGACACGTCCATTTACTCCATACTATAAACCTAAACCGATTCAGAGCAATCAATTCGTTCCAAGCGGAAAAATATGAACACCGATTCAGAGCAATCGTTCTAAGCGGAAAAGTATGAACACACAACCTAATATCGGAGAATGATTCTCGTCGACGTAAGAACCAATAGGAATCAACCTCCTGAGCAGAAACAACGTGAACAGAGAGAAAAAAGAGACAGCAACCATACGATACATTCACTGAGTCTTCAGAAAATAATCGACATCTTTATGATAGCCATCTCGAAATTCCTCAAAAAAGGAAGCGCGGCTTAGTTAGCGACAGCAGAAAATGAATAGGCGATTCATTCAGGAGGGGTTCAAAAAATTATCAACACCTTTATGATAGCCATACCAGGAGTTCCGTGATAAAGAATCGCAAAATGGGGACAAAAAGGGAACAGACATATGGCAATGCAGTAGCTTTTCTGAATATGGGGACCTAAGGTGTTTGTTTTCGAGGGATGAAATGAATGTACAGACAATTTTATCTTCTTCGCCAGGGAAGTAACTTAAGGGAGCTAAACTTCCCCAAAAAAAAAAACCTCTAACTTATAAGTCGAAGCTTGTTTTGTGGCACGTTTGGATGCCAAGCTTCTAAAGAATGCCCTGAATAGGGGAGCTCATGATGGCTCTAACCAGATTCTGGATGCTAATTGTTTACACTCAGATTGCCTATTTCAGGCATCATCTATACTAAGTTTTGATATAACTACAGAGAAGTTCCTGAGATGTACAAGGAAGCTCACTACGTCGGGAAGCTTGTTTCTGAAGAATAAGATTAATCACCCCGATCGGCAACAAGGATTGAATGGTAAACCCTCTCTGTTTTCCCTCAACAAGGAGATAGGTCGTTAGGCCGAGAAAATTTTGGGGAGGACAGTGCAGTACACTTCATGGAAGTCACATAATATCTGGACAGGCCTGCCAAGCTTGTTTATCTCGTGCTTCCCAGTACTTACCGTCATACACCCAGGAAGGTTCCTCGCCATCATCAGTTGTCTTTACCTGTGATATACCAGGCTCACGCTGCAAGGTACAAAAGACAGGAGCGAAATATGTTCAGATGGTCTTCGATTATGAGTCTCTAAGAATGCTCAACAAGGTTTCCTTCCATCTGTACACTACCTAGCCCAACTAGAGGAAATTCTAGTCGCGGTAAACATTTCAAACCAGCATATATCCCAAGTCACAGATACTTGAAAAGTGAACTTACTTGTTTAAACCACTGCACTTGCCAATCTTGACCTCGATCTTTCCGGAGTTTACGTGCCTCACGCTGCTTTTCTTCAAGTCGCAGCTTCTCAGGTGTGGCTTTTTCTAGATCTCCATCCTCCTGTTATGCAGTTTTGATGCGATAAGATTCCATTTTTCTAAACCTACTCACTTTAGGCATCAACCTAGCATTCGACATGAGGAATTCAGAACTTTTAGAACGTGCATGATGAAAAGAAGCTCACCAAAGCACGCTGATCTGGTCGCAATCGTGAATCCGTTGGTGGCAATGTGTCCGCTAGCTTTGGCGTGAGCTCTGTGAAAAAAGGAGTCGTAAACATCTCTTGTTCAAATATAGACCACATGCAAACGATTTGGGCCTCGTCACGGCAAACTCTAGCATAACCTCCTCTCCCATACACCCTCTTCTCAATTAAAAGACTAAACTAGATATCATTCAAGTCTGACTGTTCGCAACGATGAACAGCGGCATTAGATCTGGTGAGACGTAATTTGAACGGAGTCGAGGAAAGACGACAAACCATTAAGCCCGATAGAGAACTTTGTGAAACAGTACTGTTGCCGATAGTCCTCAATAGCCTCAGGACTCTTCCACATGCACTTATCGTTTCTTCCATCTTCTGACTTTGAAGACTCTGGAGTCGCGTAAATCTTATCCATGTAATTTCCGTGAATAGTGTACTGTGCAACACCCTTGGAATCATAGACCTACGAAAAAGACGACCACAAGTGTTACACGGAAAGCCTCTGAAGTACTCAAAAGCTCGGTCGGAAGCTCAAACACCTCCTGCCTGCTGAAGAGTACAATCTAAACTCTGGATCTATACCGCTAAAAAACAGCTATCTAAGGGTAATTGTGTGATACGTGAAGATAAAAAGATTGTAAAGATCTAATTGTCGGGCTCATCTTCTATATCTTTTAGCATCAGCGACTTGGTGACATACCTTTCCAGAAATGCGGCACTGCTCCTTGCTCCCAGCTTTCTGGAAACGAATACGACTTGTATCCCCTGTGGCGTGATTCTTTATCACCAGCTCACCATAGTTATCTATCCACAACCTTCCTACTACTACATTGTGTGCGCATGTTGTCACTTTGTTCCACGTAAAATGGTCTCCGTGCTTGCCATAGCGTAAGTGACACACACCTGTAGGTTGAACCTGAAAAAGCGACACTACATCAAACCTTCTGATAACCAGAATAGGATCAAAGGTAGAGAGCTTGTCACTGAAGTGGAAAACGATTCTGATTTTGCCGACTTTAAAAATATTTTCCGAGCAGGAGTCGAGGAAAAATTTGTAAAACAATATCTACGCACGATTATAACTCGAAATAAATGCCTCCGCCACGATGGAAACGTCGAGAGCAACAGTGTATGGAATCTGTAGAGAGAAAGTCAAACCTACCTCCACACTTTTTCCCCAAAACTTATTTTTGATCTCAATCTCCCCATAGATTGTATAATCACCTACTGAACCTTCCGAGTGAAAAGCCATGATCGGTGGGTGATGACTCACCTGAGACAAGAAACATCACCAAGCCCAAGGTAAGTAAGTACCTCATATCTCATCAAAAAATGACCGACTGCTAAGATGACTAACACATGATGCGAGGCCAAGACACGTATCACAGTTTCCACTCGAAAGCTTTTGCATGTGTCAGCCAGGGTTACCTTTTGTACAAACACAAAAATAGTGCTTTTGAGACTTCAAGATAAATACAGTGAAGTAAACTGTGTACCTGCTCGGCAAGAAACCAGGACTTTTCGTCTGGTGCTAACCACTCATAAGTCTCACCCAACAATGGATTGAATGGCTTTGCATCACGATGAATGCTACCATGGTACGAAGCACACGCAAAGGTAGAAACCCAAAGCAGGCGCTTTACTGAATTTTGCTCTTGAGCTGCCCTCTCCAGCAAGTAACTGCAGTGAAAGCATAAAAGTAATCAGAAGTGAGCTAGTTCTGGCAGAAGGACAAGGTTATATGATGGAAGAAGCTCATGATTAACTGTTCATTTCACAGGTCTTTAACAGGATTCCAGAGACATGTGAATGAACAAGGATTCTTACCGATACTGCATCTCTTCAGCACACTTTTGTAACACTGACAAAGGCTCATTAATGGTAGCAGGCATAGTAATGTGATTTAAATCCTTGCCGATTGCATTTTTCAGCACAGTCCAAAGGCTGAAACCACGGGATAGCGGCCTCGGTGAAGGTAGCCTGCAAACATCCCACAGGTCCTCTTCAGAATAACCAGCAGCACACTGACTGATCAACGTGAAACTTTGTGTTGCGGATCAGATCATTATCCCGGATCAGAAAACTATGTTTTATTTAGACATATTTCACTCTTGAAAGGGAAACCCGGTTGCAGTCCATACACATTTCTCACTGACAAGCTTTCTTTTCCGGGTGCGCCCCTGGAGCTCAAGCCAGTATCAAAACATCTGGATTTTAAGCCTAGAAAAAAACTACAAGATTCCCAGTCCAGTTCATCTGATATTCTTCGAAATCTTCGCGAAATAGATTGCAGCTTCATTGAGTTGATTACCTTGTCCTAGGTTGATCAAGTTCATCAATGTCGGCTTCGGACATGAGCTCTGCATCAACTGGAATGTCACCTTCTTCGGGAGGCTCTTGACCACCATCTTCCCTGTCAGAGAGACCATCCTGATCTTCTGTGGTTGTTGACTTGGCGATGAAATCATGCTGATTGAGAACTTCAAGCGCTTCAAAGTACTCCTGTCAAATCGCCGAAAAATCAGTAAAGTACTTGCAAATTGATATAACAAGAACACAACTCGATTATCACAAGAAACAAAAGCAAACTTAACAGAAACGTACCTCATTTGTAAGTTCTGTGTGTACAAGTGAAATGTCGTCGTCGGTATCATGGGCATATTCGTCATCATCAACATCTTCTGCATCTCCATTCCTTGCGCTCTTGAACTTGTTATGATGGCTTAGGGACCCATCTTTCTGCAGCCATTACAGCCATCTTTACCAAGTCAGCTGCTACTCAAGCATAAAAGTATAGAGCAATAAGAGTTGCGGTACGCATCAGTATGTGCCTGTCATTAAAGACCACAGACCTCACGCCCCAGCTGAGCGGTGTTAAAATGAACATGTGGAATAAGGACAAATACTCTCTTGAGTATAAGCTGTGGTACTAAAAACAGAAATCCGTCATGAAAATGGAGATACAAATGTGAATCATTTGATTTCGATCTGCCTCTACTCCGCACTGATACGAGACCATCATGACCCAATGGTGGTCTCGGACCATCATTGGTCCAATTGTCCATTTCAGAGCTATCTACAACAGAATCATACTGCTATTGGTAAAAAGAGTCGAAAGTAAGATTGGTAATATACGTGTGTAAACAATGGTCTCTCAAATTTTTTAGTTAACCCATTCACCTGCAAACTCTCTCTCAAACTCAAGAGATCTGTGCGGTCCTTTTGAAGTTGTGGCATCATAGCAAGAGACTCTTGTAGAACTGCATTTTCGGCCTCCAGCTCCAATACTCTATGAATTTCAACTTTCAGTGCCTGCACTTCGTGAAGGTACGAAATTAGCTTGGAGTTACAAAGTCAAAAGTTTCGGGAAGAAACATTGTGTTCCAGTTTCACATTGGCCTTTGACACGAGTGTCATGTACGGAACGTATGAGTAGATGAATCACTGTCATGTGACAAAAGAACGAGAACTTGAACTCAGATGCTCAAGAAGAGAAGGTACAGAATCTCACTTCAGCAAAAGCTTCTTGCAAACTGTGCCATGCCGCATGAAGAGGTCCTTGTACAACTGGACCGACTTTTTCTGTAGTTTGAGTGGTATTAGTATCGATTGTCAAACGCCCGGATATCTCCCTGTTACTATACTTGGACCCATGGATTCCAAGTTCTGAGCTTTTTGCGTACCGTCGAGCAGACCCTCCTACGACCATTTTTTCCGAACCATTTTTGGGACTGCTACCATTCTCCTTGATACCCGGATATTGGTCGACATCACTTGGACCAGCTACTGATTCCACCAATTCCGTGGAAGCTGGAACAGAGGATTCTTCTATCTCGCTATCTTTCGGCTTGTGTTCTCCCAAGAGCGGACTCTTAAGAGTATCCGGATGGGGACAACCATTGGCGCACACCACTTCGGAATCGGATACATGACCTTTCAACACAGTATCTCCCTGTGAATTCTTCTTTTTCCACTTGAAACATTCCCCGCCGATGCAGCTTCCTTCACGAAGGAAAACATATTCGGGATGTCGTAAAGACTCATCCATTGAGAAGGAAAAACTTCGCCTCTTTGTCCTACTTAGAGACTTCTCGGAAATGAGGGAGGCTGATGGAGCAGATTTCGATGATCTTTTCTTACACTGCTTGCTTTCGCCATCTCCTTTCCACTTGAATATGGATCTTTGAGTGCGAGAATTTTCAGGAAGAGAAAAACCATTGTCAGAAAACTTTTGCCCGCTTTGAGACGCATCACTTCCTCCAACTTCAGGTGATGACAATCTCTGATTTCCTTCATCGCCTGAATTATTCCTAGAATTTCGGAACGAATATCCATCCACCTTCTCTATCCCGTTCCAGACATCTGGCATCCTATTCAGCTCAGTGTTGCTTGAGGACGATACCATTGTTTCAGGCTTGTCACTAAAACCCAGTGCTCCTGATATTACCGACAGTGACTGTTGGAGTAGCTGTAATTGCTGCAAGAATGCTGCACTTGTCACCAAGAAGCAAAGAGGATATCAGAAATTGAAGAACATGTCAGACAATAGAAGTGCTTCTCAGTATCTGAATTAAAATTCTGTGCCAAATTGTTACTTGTCAAAGGACCAGATATCCAGTTCAGAATGACCTGATTTTCCAATTACAGTGCAGCCTTAATATGGTTGGGATGTAGAATCATAATGTAATAATTCACGATCCCTAACATAAGCAACATCGTAAAGAACAACACAAGCAAACGGGTCTAACCAAGAAACATTCATATGTTTCTGTGTTGATTACAACGGTAAATGGGCAGGACAACCGATTAAGAACTTCGATTTACTTGTCGTCACTACAAACTACGCTGACAACGGCGGAGCTGAACAAAATATTATACCCTTGCTTGCTGGCTCAAGGTCTTCCAAACGCTCGGCTAGCCTCCTGTTTAGCTCTCGTTCTTGCGCTTCCCATTCTTGCTTCACATGCTGCAGGTCGAAACACGAACGTACCGAGTCTTTCAAGTTGAGGATTTACACACACGTAAGCAAGAAACGAATGTACTTCAACTGTTGATAGACAATCGTAAGCAATTGAGCAGATATATTCCAACTTGAGGAATTGCACCAAAGTAGAGTTCAGCTTAAAATCAGAATCGAGCCTTCAACTCGCACGTAAGGCCTAAGACTTGGTAGGTGGGCTAAGACTTGACTGCATTACCTCTGGTACAGACTGCTGAGGCAAAAGACCTCGTCCAGGCGTGGCCCCCACAGCAGCTTTTTGTACAGATTTGTTGTAGATCCGCATGGACTCATGAATGGCGTCCAACCAAGACTATTATGGATCAAAGTCATGAGCAGTAGAATGTCAGCCCAGAATAGGATTGCACAAAGCCAAACTACGTAAATTCCTTACGAAATGATTGTATTGAATTTGGATAACCGACTGATTTTGATTAGCCAGCCATACTCATAGTGAACCCTACTAACTGCAACAAATATGAGAGGGCTGTACTTTTCTTCAATGTGTGTTTTTTGGGTTTTCCACTCCTTAATTTCTTGCTATCAACACCAGCACACCAAATTACAGCGAATTCCATTCACAAGCTAGCACTCTCTAGCAAAGGCTTCCAGCAAAGTCTATGGGCTATGAATCAGCTTTCAACAAAGTGCGGGATAATTCTAGTAACAAACACTCGGTCTGGCATTGAGATTAGAACAATCAGAAGTGCAAGGGATCGAAGTTAATGGTGGTGACGGTCTGTGCTGATGAGAACTGCTGAGAACTGTATACCAGGATCAGAAGGTCCAAGAATAGAAACATCTTTTAGAGGAACATCAATTATATTCTTCAGTAGTTTCTAGCTGAGAATGCGATGTATAACAGCTAGCCCAGCATATCGCCTTTGATCAAGTATGATCGTAGAGCATTGCTAGAGGACATCAAGCTGATGGACGCTCACAAGGCAAGTTCTTCTAATATTACAAAGCTGATACACGTGGAAACAGGAATGGCTTCTGGGGGTTGTGACAAGAGACAGAGATGCAAGGTCAATTTTCAGAAAGGATTCTGCAGCCTAAAATGCTCTCGAATGATTGGTAATGAAAGTGATGAAGTAGTGCAGCGGCAAGGCCGTTTATTGCGCGAGCAGTGTACACTCAAAGTGGGAAACATCATTCTAGAGCTCAAGTGGTTGTACCTGACGATAATCCTTGTTCAGGGTGCGCAAGTAGTAGACCATTGAGCCCCTCACAATCTTGATTTGCCGCTCCTTGCCAGGAGTTGGACCTGCGGTTGCCTCCTGCGTAAACATTTACCACCACAGAATAAGCGTCAACTGAAAACATGCTCACATATGATAAAAAAACTGCAATTTTCTTGGGACGCATTGCTCAGGAGTAGCTCAGCTGCGCAGAAGAGCCGGATTAGCAGACTTGCTGGTCACTATCAGAAATTTTTCAAACAGGTGAAGTAATGACAGTACAAGGAGGCTGATGCAGCCGGGTCGACCAATTTGCTCGCTTGTCTTGTAATGAAGGAGGAGACCAGGTGGGTGTGCCACAAACCAACGACGACGCCATCGCTTGAAGCGTCCCGCCCACACCAGCATCCATCCTGCTGGTGGTTGACCCGAATTACTAACACTCTTGTTATTGGTACCGCTAGTTCGCTTGTGCCAGCGCCGAGGATCATAGATGCGCCGATTACCCTGCACACCTTCCACCGAACGCCGCTGCCGCCTTCGTTGCTGCCCCATCCCTGGCATCTAACTGAGAGGCTTAAAGGCAGGTGATAGTGCGAGAGAAAAACGATACGAGATACGAATTTCGACGACGCAATGACGATTTTACGCCAATTTGTGGCGATGCTGTCACCGGATATTCGGCCCAGAGTGTGCACACAAGGAAACGCTGAGAATTACTTCCGCCTCCTGCCAGAAGTAAGACTCCGTGGGAAAGTGAGATGTAAGTCGAAACGCTTCGGTGTAACAAAAAACTTTTCCGCTAGTCGAAGGGAGTTGTTCACTACAAATATTGGGAATTGGACTCAGTTGAAGTCGCACCAACAATCAAGAGACGAAATTTCCCGTGGTCTCCTGGAAGATGAACGCCGCAGCCATTAGCTTTTGAGTGAGACTCAACCGCCATTCTGGAGGACCTCAACATGTCGGGCTCCGTATGATTCAACTCATGATGATCTGCTGTATGACTGTTCCAGAACCCTGTCCCGTCGAGTTGTGGGGCTCAATTACTGTTCTAGATCCAAGCAATTCTCCCTGAAATTCCTCGTTACTGGCTTCCTTCACCGGCCTCGCCTCCTAAGAGCTGGCAAGAACTCTGTACGATACGAATCGTACGCCCAAAATTGGACGTCAATTATGCCAGTGACAATGCGAGAACGTCAAGAGGAATTCCTCATCATCACTGACCAAGCTACAAAGAGCCTGGATCATCGAAAGTCACAGCTGCTCAAGAAGTATCCTCACCATCGGCCCACCTCTCTTCCCCACACATTGCGCACATGCACAAAAAAATAAAAAAAATCCTCCGCTCCTGTCAATGTCCTCCTTTTCAACGCGACGGCTACACCAACCGGCGAAGATCCCCGAGACACAAAACCATGCCTCTCGCCTTCTCCCTGCCTCTGCCGGTAAACACTAAATTGGCAAATTCCCCGGACCTCGATATAAAGATCTTGCGGTCCAGTGCACGCACTACGGCGACCGAGCCAGAGATCGCAAGCTTAATCCGAGATCCACCAAATGCTCCAAAGTAACAGCCAGCCCGCGTGATGGTGGTGGTGGTGGTGGTGATGGTGGTGACTCTGTCTCCCTCCCTCGATCTCTCTCTCCCTCTCCCTCCCTCCCACCCCCTGACTCGCTCTCAAGTGCACCAACATTCAACACGGATCACGCTTTCCCGTGCTCTCTGCGTCGCTTGCTTGCTTGCTTGCTTGCACCTCTGATCAAAAGCGGACAATGTCTCGAAAGGCCTCACAAGATCCACTGCTTCCAAAGCGAGCGGGAGTGGGAAGGACCTCCCCTCTCTCCCTCCACCAATTGAAGCAAGGCGATCTTCGAAGTTAGCACCTCGAGACCCACAGCTTTTCTTTGCTTCGCTTCCCCTCCCCTCTCCCCTCTCCCCTCTCCCCTCCCCCTCGCCTCGCTCGCTCGCTCGCCCGCCCCGCTGCCGCTGGCACTCACGCCTCGCCTCTCTCCCTCTCCCTCTCCCCCTCTCCCTCTGCCTCACTCCTCCCTGTACGCTCTATTCTGTTCTGCCTGCGCTCAAGAGGGCAGCGGAAGCTGGACCAGCACGACAGCAACGGACGGATCGCTGGCCGGACGGATGGACGGACGGACGGATGGATGGAGGCAGGGACGGACCGACTAGGCTCGGCTGCTCTCGCGGCGAGCGCCTCTCCTCCAGACGACCAGGCGCAAAGTCGTCCACGAAACAACGCGTGGCGGGGGGCAGGTCCTCCGCGGTCGTCCCGTCCGCTGTCCTCATTCGGCACTCGCTCGCTTCCGTCTTCTTTTCCGCTCGCCTTTTGCATTTCTTATTCCGCTTCGAAATTTTGTCCCCCTCCGAAATGCACCTTCTTTCAGCGCGCACGCAATTCGAAGGTTGAATCCTCCGGCCGAGCTCAAACCGAGCCCTCCTCGTACAGGCTGGTCCGCTCCTGCGGCGGAATTGTCCGCCTGATCAGCCCGGTGCAACCTTCAAGAAGCCACGCTGGCATCCCATGTCAGCATCTGACTCCCCCACCCCCAATCTTGAGAAGCACGCCTCCTAACGATTTGATGCACTGCAGCCTCTCTCTCTCCCTCCCTCCATACCGTTGTACGCAGAGAGTGCTGTTCGTTGCCGGAAAGGCCTTCTTCAGCTGACATCCAACCGATTAATCAGTCAATCAGTCAACGGATTACCGAAACAGGTGAAAATGCGTTACGCACCGTGCTCCCCGTACTCAGCCAATCGAAGCAGCGGAGCGTCTGGCGCATTAATATGAATTCGGATTTAATTTTTCTCCGCGCGACCGAGTGCGGAACGGACGACGGACGACGCAGAGCCGGTTAGCGTAACCTCCGGTCGGGTGATGAGTGAGCGAGTGAGTTAGCAAGCGAGAGACGAGTCGACGAAGCCTCGTGTGAGGTTCGAGCCGGTAGAGTGTCCGACGACGGGTCCGGTGAGCCAGGGCGGGCATGGATCACACCGAGCCCGTTAATGTATTCACGAGGCGCCGTCGATCGAGCTGCAGAACGTCCGGCAGCGGAGGAGAACCACCGTACGAACCGGGAATTCCCGATGGGCCTCCGGAAACGACAAAGCGTCGGGCTCGGGTTGGGGAATGAAACATTCTCCAGCGTTTATGGTCGCCGAGAGCCGAGGCGGAAATGAACTGGAAATGTATGAAATTCGCATCACGCATTCTGCTCTTCGATGCAAAGACGGGACGGACGCTCGGCGCCATGTGTTCCTATACGAAGAGGCAGCACCGACGGAAGATCTTGATGCTAACGAACCGAGGCAGCGCATGACAGCTAGACGGTAGCGGAGCGGGTCCACTGCCGGAGTCAAAAGTCGGGAAATCCCGTCAGAAAACACGTGTGTGACAACATACAGGTGTCGGCAGAATGGGCGACGGGAATGGCCCTCCAGACAGAACACCGGATCGGCTGGCGATCCGACGGGTCCGAGGTGAATATGCCGGGATCTTTGACGGTACTGTACCGAGCCATCAGTGTGCCCGCCCAGATGGCTGTCCCAGTGCCTGGAACCGACGTCCTTCTTCTTCGCCGAAACTCTGGCCAGCCCATTTTAATTTTGTGTGCTCAAACCAACCCACAAATCTCTTTCCTTATTCCGAATATAAACAAATGCCCAGTTTACTGCCTATGCATGTGTATCTTGGAAAGTCCACAGGACAAATATCCAGTTTATCACATGCACCTTGGTTGATAATATGGCTTACTTTTGGTTGAGGCGTGAGGCACCAAATAATATAGTAAAATGTACGAGAATATCCATGGGGCTATATAGCGATGAAAAGGAACTGCTAACCTGAGACTAGGCTCCACTACCTTCACAATGTCATACTGCACTTAAAAATATAAAACTATACAAATAAATAAATAACGTACTTGAGCGTTTTACTATAATTAGAAACAAGCGACAATCTGCATGAATACTATAACTTGTAACACTAGCTAGAATTTCAGGTACATCCGTAGGAACAAGTTGACTAGAATAAGCTACATTACACGTTAAATAAAGGGTCAATTTATTCTCCTAATATATTGAGCTCTTGTGTGTATTAGTATTAAAATTTCTAAATTAAAGATTATATGTCAGTAAAACGTCACCAATGTGTTTGTTACGCATGTAATCCATGACATCGATCCGTTAACCAGTGAAAGTGAGATTTAATATCATTTAATATCAAAAATACCACATAGACATAAATTTGTCTTTGTCATTGTCACAACATTTCTCATTTTAACATATATACGTATTTTTCTGATTTGATAATAATTTCTAAACTAATTTGATTATCTTTAACTTATATTAGCTTGTTTATCACCTAAATTTGGATTTTTGTCATACTCATTCTTATTATCAGGATTAACAATCTTCGATTGATGAATCATTTGTGTTTTTGGTAGCAAAATCATAGATATATATATTCTGATATATTTTATTAAAGTATCTGAAAAGAGATGTGAAATATTTCAATAATTGTAAAGATATGATATATATATATATATATAGGATATTGAGAAATCTATGACTTTTTTGTTCGTTTGAAATAATTTGCATTTGTTATTTTCTTGCTTTGTGATTGTAGAACACTGTTTGACACATCAGATACATGAGGAGTACTGAATTTAGGATTGTAGATTTTGATCGTATTTCACGAAATAAGAGAATATTGAATAAGAAATAGAACATGATGTCACGTCATCTTCTCTCTATTGCTCAGCAATTGATTAAGAGAACTACAATTTCTTTTAATAGATCAATTTTTTACCAGTCTCTACATTCACTATTAATGTATCCAGCTTTTCTTCATACTGTCGTGACTTGATTTATGCTCTTGCTTCTCCTTATGCTTATTATAAACATTGACAACAAGCAGCATATTTTATCATGGCATGAATTTCCTAGGTAGTTTTATCTATAAGAAAGTAATCAAATACAATTATTTCTTCACTTGCACCATTTGATCTAAATAGTTTATATCTGTAGATATACTAATTTTTTTTTCAATGTAGAACTTTTGAAAAAGTAATCTGATGTTGACACTTTGGTTTCATATTGAACCCTTGATAGAAACCAACACTGTGGTTACATCACTTGGTTCCCACCTCCCTTTCATTTTCATCTTGTGTACACATGTTACCTCTTTCTGGTAATGACTTATAAAATACCAGGAAGGGACACGAAGAGCATGGTATCTGAAAGCAGTTAGGGAATGTTGTTTCATTCAGAAGAATGGACGAATTTCTCCATTTGTGTTAGTCTGGTACTCAAGGTTCGAAAAGAAAACCGAGTGAGTTTTACGAAAGGGATCATGTGCATGTCTGCCTTCAGGACCTAAGTACTTGCACGAATTCGTAACACCTCGGAAAGAGGCACAGTACCTTGGACGTACTGCGTACAGACGCTTTCATGATAATTGGACGGAGAATATTTCTCAGTAACTGACATCTGACCGAGTGCACATTGTTTCATAGTCTCCAGATCTAATCCTTGGAGTGATCCAACGGTCAGCATTCATATCCTGTTGGATCCAATTCACTTTTCGTGCACGCATGTGCCAGAAAGGATCTCCATGCCTGCCTACATAAAAAACAAACTCATTTATTAAAGGCGTAGGGGGTTCTCGAGTATCGAACATCGCGTCCTTGTGGAAGGAGATTCAACAAATTCTCTCTTCTTTCTTAAAGTGCAAGGCCCTTCCGCAAGTTGGTTAATAAAAAAAGGTGAGAGCACTAAGAAGAATTATTTTCTTTACTTTATTTGCTCTTTTGTACCTCAAAGTTACGAGATTCTTCCCACAAGCAATAGCATTACTAAGATTATATACAAGCTGTTGTATACAATATTTCCTTTTCTACCACATACAGTATACAATATAAGTGCGCTTCGAAACCTAACACAAAGTTTTTAACGTTATAACTAGGTGGTAGGAGAAAATATAGAATCGATAATAGTGAAGCAAAACGAAGATTGCAGTGAGAACGGACCATGCAAGCCATCACGATATGATGTCTACATTCTTCCGCTGTGCATCTTCAAACATCCCCAAAGCATATTTGCTTGTCGTAATTCATGTGCATTATTTGGTAGGAACATTTTTTGTTATCTAGTCCAGTATTGAATCACGTGAAAGACTATCCTATATAGTGGAGTTCAAGAATTTTCTTGTTCCCTCCATCTTCAACCACCCTCATGTTTGGTAATTCTTTCACAACTCATCAACGTTACAAAGTGTATGTTTCCCTATTTCAAAATCATGGTATTGTTACGAAATTATTATTAACGAATTTACCATCTGAGAAGAAAAAAGGAAAAGAATATGTTTACAAACTTGATCATAATCTGAAGACGTTAATCAGGCTACAACAACGTAGAAGTTACAAACTTTTATCCGAGAACCTTTATGACATAAATGCTAGATGTCTGCAGAGAATTGCTTTTCGAGGAACATATTTAATGAGAAGTGCCTACCTCATGGAGTAGCACCAACAAGACTCCACACGCTGAGTCACTAGTTTTCATGACGCCCAAGTCAACACAACATCCAATTCGCAGAATGTGCACTTGGAGAAAGAGAAAGTGAGCTGAAAAATAATGAAGAAAATTCCTCGCAATATTTCAATCGCCTAAAAGAGATCTCAATGTGATACGTCATTAAGTGCAATTTCTTACGTTGCTCCAGAGGCATTAGCAGCAAGTTTGAGCGCATTCTCCTCCCTCCCCGGGCATGAAGAATGTGATTGAGACTGGTTGCATGTGCCATGTGCACGTCGGCTCTCATCTTTCTCATGGAGGGTGCACTGGAAATGCAGAGGAAGAAAACAGAAAGGGCTAATATTGGAGAAAGTCCTACACGCGAGGTTGAGGTTATTGCTCTTGCAGGCGTCGATGCAGTAACACGAGAGACGAGATTTCAGTAGCCGATATGACGGCTTCGAAGGCTGAGACTAAGTGTCCTCAATATGTCATAAAATTATTATTTTTGTTGGTGCGTTGAGTTCCACTTCTATGGCTCGTCCTTATATCCTTGTTTGGGAGAGATCCGTACCATCCATGGGTATCAATGTACACTTGTCTATTTCATAAAGTTGTGACGCACAAAATTTGTGCTTATCAGAAGGTGGAATGGAATCCTCCCCGTTTGTCATCTTCTCATATAATAGTTTCTCTGCAAGAAACACTTTAAATAAACTATGCTTAAGGTGTATCATAAGTGTAATTTCGAAGATAGCTGTATCTGTCAACAGAAATAGTTTTTTATTAATTTTCCTTTCAATAATCTCATCTTTTCATATATCTATGTTTTGAGAACGTCCCCTTCCTCCAGCTCCTTGGACTTTCTCCGTCAGCGCACGTTCGTGTCATTGAAATTCGAATAAATAAATAAATAAACAGTATATCGATCGAATTTCTAACCAGATTTAATCCCGGACGAACCAATTCTTTACAGCAACTGCTTGATAAGCCGCGGCTTCTTGGAAATTGGAGGAAGAAGATGTTCGAAACGAAAGAAAGAGAGACTAGAAGACCATTAAAAAACAATAATAAAATTAATTTAATCGAAGAAATACACCAGTACGTATGTCTAAATAAACGAGTAAATAAATAGACATGTAAAATACGTGCCAGCTATCTTGGAGCCCGCCATACGTATCCACAAAGAAAGCAAAGATTGTCATCATTTCTCCGATATTCGCAAAGGAAAGGATAAGCCTACGAGGCAAAAACCAATATAGACCGAAATCTGCCTCCCAATCCTTCGATCTAAATCCAGAACGGGGTCCTTGTCTTCTCACGCCAGCCCGTCTAATTTCGTAGCCTGTCCCGAATTCCAGCACCTACTCGCTGCCTCTTACGCCAGTCTCTGCCCTCTAGAACCTCAATCCAATGACATCCTCCTCTCGCCTTGCTCGAGCGTCGATGTCAAATCTGAGTCTGCGTGAATTCTGGAGCTTGTCTCACCTCATCTGTATCAGATGTGATAAGTCGTGAAAGTCGAGAGATTTCGTGGCCTTGTAATTTTATTTTCGTGCGCAGTAAGTGAAAAGTGAATTCTTTAGGGTTCCCAAAAGACTTGTGTAGTCAGTTCTTACACGACCATCATTTCGATCCCTGAGGAGTCCGAAACCCCAGAATCTAACACGCATAGCCAGACCCCGTCGATTACAGCCTGTGGATCTGATTTGGACACATGCTCTTCTTCCGCAATGCGGCTATGCGGAATAAGAACGTGGTGAAATCTTCCGGAATGCGAGTTGAATGAACGAAGATGTCGTGGGCGACATAAATCCCAGAGTGGCGAATCTTCGAAATATGCCAAAATCTGAGATTTTTTCTGCTTAAAAAATTAAGAGTGCGAGCGCGCAAGTGCGAGTGTGTGAGTTTCAGTCTCCGTAGGTTTGGCATGCACTCGATGTTCGACTGTGGAATCAAATGGAGTTGATGCTCGCCGTGTCCTGCCATGTTCTTCACCAGACAATACTCTTTGGGATCTTCCGGCTCCAGGTCTGTATTTGCAATGTGCGTACCCCACACACGATGATGATGATAATGATGATGGCATACATGAACTGTTGAGCCAATCGGCACAAGGTTGAAGTCAGTGGGAGCAATCGGCATTCATAAAATCTCCTCCTTTCTTGGCGCAGACGGATTGATTTTCAGTATTTGGGTTCTCTTGTCTTTAGGACCGGAAGGGTATGGCGTGACAGAAGCTTGACAAAAATTGAGAACAACGAAACTTGTTGTATCGTATCGTCCGGACCCTGTAGCTACATGGATGTTTCCTCCTGGGCACCGATGGAAGTGGAAGCGCTCTGTCGAGGTAAGGAACTCGACCTCTCAGCCCGGGAATTTGTCAAAAGTTGGAGGGACCTCTTTCGATCCATGGATCTTGCTCAGTTCCCTGCCACCAGTGCAACGTAATCCATTTTCTTTTGTCTCTCTCAGATGCTTCGCGGATCCATCTGGACAAAAGCGTAAGTTTGTCATGTCTCGTTGTCGTTTACGTGTGTCTGGAGCAAACCTTGCAGTGATGGTCGTGCTGCATGATTTTCTGCCTCCGTCCTCAACTTCCAACCTCCAACTCCCAAACGGCAGCAAGTTTCTGCGAATGTTGAATTCTCGTTGTGGGTAGTTCGTCTATGGATTATAAGTTACAGATGAATGCGAGAAGACAAGATCATGATTCTTTTGTCCTCAATCATCACCCTTTCTCGAAACAAGCACAACATGAATATAACATATCGGAGACATAACTTCAGCTAACTTAGATTGCTCCAGGGGCATCTAATTTTCACCTGGCACATGTTAGAACTCATTCTCAAGAATGCCATCACCACATGAATCCAAAATGTCATGGATGTATGCCTTGCATCATGTAATTTACTACAAATCAACCGGCATCATTTAATATTGCGATAAATCTCATGTCTTGAGATTTGAGACCAATTTAGATAAGTGACATGACCATCACTAGCAATGAAACTTAAACTTGAAAATCAAAAGACAAAATTGTATCATCATTTTCATAAGAACGGTCAATTTATCCTCCAACAAATATCTCTACGGTTCATAAAGCATGTCTTTCAGGTAAAGCATATCAAAGGGGTCATAAGCTTCAAAAGAGAAATATCAAGTAGTTAGATCAGGAATATAGATGGGTTTGAACCCTTGTCGAGGACAAGTTTGTTTGTGTACCCAGGCTCTTGATGTTCAGCCATTTGATCATGTCTCAGCACGGTGTCGTGCGAATACATATCGCCATACACTCCACATCGCTGACATGCTACTCACATACACATACGCACACACATACACACATATAAGGCGCGAGAGAGTACACACTCAAATGTCACAACTCAATGAACGGGAAAGTCCCCACTGGAATTCCCGTCGGTCGATTACCCTACTGGCAACAAACCGTCACCGTCACAAACATGAGTCAAGCCCAACCCACTCCACACTCGGAGAATCCAGGTCGACGCAAAAGGGAAAGTCACTCTACGCTCCCAACGCTTCCAGGCTCGACTCGAAGAACTGACGTTCTTCGAGCCGTCCCCGACTGTATACCCCTCGTGACCGGAACCCTAACTTTACGGCTAAATATAGTAAGTGTCTGAACTTCGTGAGCCGACTCGTAACTACATGACAGCTGTCGTGCGAATACATATCGCCATACACTCCACATCGCTGACATGCTACTCACATACACATACGCACACACATACACACATATAAGGCGCGAGAGAGTACACACTCAAATGTCACAACTCGCCCCCCTAGCTGGCGGTCAGGTCCCTCTGACTCCCAGGTAGCCCCATCTACAACTACATGCTATACACCTTCGTGGGTGCGCGAACCAGTAGGCCGGGTGCTATGTCGCCCCATCGTTAGTCGCCTATCTGCAATTCATAACATGTGAAGATCAAGTCATCTACCCCTATGAAGTACATCGAGGACAAACCCATCGTCCAGCCGGAATAACATCGATAGGCGGAGTTAGGCACGACATGTGCCATCCCCTAGAACACCTATCACACACCAACATACGGGCCGCCTTACCAGCTGACCCACACAGCATGCACCTCAAGCCAACACGTACTACTGCTAAGCTTGGGTCCATAGTGCCATCTACGTTTGGGAGGTGGCATGGCGCACAATTGCGCACATGATCCTTCCAAACAACGCCGTCACGACCCTCCAACAGGAGAACTCCAGAAGGTAACACCTCCCGCACCCGCAAGATGGTGCGTCCCGCCGTCACATCCAATGTCGTCGGTGCAGTCTGTTGTAGATAGACGTAGTCTCCCACATGGAATCTACGAATTGATGGTCGATAACCTCCTCCCCGAATGGTTGCATACCGCAACGTATCTCTATGTTGAGCAATCGCAAGATTCTCAAACGCTGCAGGCATAACTCTTCGAAAGAGCTCTGCACGTTGAGAACATACTCTCACCCACATATTCGGGTCATCAAGGTTCACCACCTCGCTAGACTCACGACGAATCGATGTTGGCAAGTCTGGATCTCGGCCGTACAATAGAAAATATGGTGAGAAGGAAGCCAAGGATGCCTGCCGACTGAACCGATATCCCATGGCCAACCACGGTAACTGGATATCCCAGTCCCCAAGATGACCTTTCTGCAGGCCATACTTGCGCAACGCCCTCTTCACCGTCTGTACAACACGTTCAGCTAAACCATCCGCCTCTGGATGATCTCGCGACGTGGTCCGATGATCAATCAGTGCCTTGTCGCACAAGACCTGAAACTCACCCTGAAACTCCGTTCCCTGATCGGTCAACACCTCAGCTGGTGCACCATAGTGACTAAGCACTTTGTCAAGAAAAGCATACGCTACTCCCTCACTTGCCTTGTCAGGTAAAGCCACCAACTCAATCCACTTGGAGAAATGCTCCACCATCACCAACACATATCGATGATGTCGTACAGTCAAAGGTAGTGGTCCAGCAAAGTCCAAACTCCAACGGTAACCCAACCCCATGATGGGTAATGGATGTAACACTGGTGTCGGAGCATTGAATGATGCCCTCACTCGATCACAAACCATGCAACGTGATACCAACTGCTGTACCTGAGTATGCATACCACGCCACCAATACTGACCAAGGAGTAAGCTGTATGTACGCTTCACTCCAAAATGTCCCAACTCCTCATGAGCATGCCTCACAATGCGTGCTCTCTGGGCTGGATGTGGTACTACTCGTACCCTACCGTCCTCCCATACTCGGAGAACATGTGATCCCTCCAATCGGTACCTCTTGGCCCGTTGGAGAACACGATCTCGCTCCTTGGCACCCACTGTGCCTGGCACCATGCTGGTCCGTAGGAACTCCAACACCAATGCATCATCGTGTACATCACGCTGATCCACACCACCATCCTCAACCTCAGGATCTGGAGATCGACCATCTACTCTCTGACTAGAGTAAGATGTCAGATGATCCTCTCTGCTGGAGTTCCCACGTAACCAACACATGAAGGCAGATGCATGCCAACCAGGCACCATCTCCTCGTCAACCTCACCATGCCATCTAGCTCCAGTGTCATCCTCCTGGCTAGTGCATGGGTTTCGACTCAAACCATCGGCATCTAGGTTCGCAACTCCAGGTCTATGCACCACCTGAAAGTCGTACTCCTGTAAGATGAGAGCCCACCGTGCAAGCTTCCCTGTAAGCTTGTCGGACTCCATCAACCACTTGAGCGGTTGATGATCAGTAACAAGGGTGAACTGCGTACCAAACAAGTAACACCTGAAGTGCGCCACAGCCCACACCGCTGCCAAGCACTCTCCCTCGTACGAACTATACCGCGACTCCGCTGCATTGTTCGAACGACTAGCGTACGCAACCACAAACTCCTTGCCCTCATCATCACGCTGCGTCAACACCGCTCCAAGTCCCAACATACTCCAATCAGTGTGCAATTGGTATGGACGACCTCTGATAGGTCTCCTCAAGATGGGAGCGGCCACCAACCTGGCCTTGAGCTCAACAAAAGCTCTCTCCTGCTCATCTCCCCATTGCCACTCCTGATCTGACTTCAGCAACTGGTTCAAAGGCTTGGCTATAGCACTGAACCCCTTCACATACCTCCGATAGTAGTTCGCTAAACCCATAAATGCACGAACTCTACTCACATCCGTGGGACGAGGGATGCGTGCAATAGCCTCCACCTTTGCTTGCTGAACTCCTAAACCACCTGGGTATATCACATGACCCAAGTACTCAACCTTCTCCTGGAAGAACTTACACTTCCCAGGATGTAACCTCAAACCATGAGCCCTCAATCGCTCAAACACAATCTGCAAGTGTATCTGGTGTTGCTCCACAGTGTCACTAAACACCAAGATATCATCAATGTAACATCTGACAAAATCCAGCCCCGCCAGGATTCTGTCCATAACCCTCTGAAACTCGGCAGGTGCATTCTTCAACCCAAAGGGTAAGAATCGCCACTGATACAAACAATCCTTGCCGTGGGAGTTGACGCCCCAAAACGCTGTCTTGGTTTTGTCCTCCTCCCGAATTGGCAACTGATGGTATCCTGCCCGAAGATCCAAAGTACTAAAAATCCTCGCATGTCCCACCACATCGAAGATCTCCTCAGGTGTAGGCATGGCATACTTATCGGACTTCGTCTGCCGATTGATAGGACGGTAGTCTCCACACATCCACCTATCGGTGGAGAAGTCGGCCGCTTTTCGGAATGTGCCCTTTCCGAAGTCCAAGTTGTAAGAGTCTGTCAAACCCTCAACAAGTCCGAACTCTGGTGTCCATCCCAACTCGACTTGCGCCTTCTCTATGGAAGTGAAGAAATGTTGGTCCCGCAGGGGGAAAGCCTTCTTCTTGCCGAAGTCAAAGTCCTTCGGGTTGTAGTGAATGAGTTCCGGCTCGGGAAATCCTCCAGCCTTTGCACATGCCCTGGCAATTCCATCAAAGGTGACGTATCTTGATCCACTGATGTTGTAAACTTGGCCGATGGCTTTCTCGTTTCCAAGGACCGCGACGAAGGCAGTGGCCAGATCCTTGACGTGACCCAGCTGAGTAATTTGAAGGCCAGCGCTGGGGATAGGAATTGGTCTGCCTGCCTTCAGGCGGTGGAAGAACCATTCCTCAACTGGGTTGTAGTTGAGAGGCCCATAGATATAAACTGGTCTGATAGAGGTCCACTTGACACCTTTGCTCTCCAGAAGAGCTTCTGTGTCCAACTTTCCTTTGTGTCTGCTCTTGGGGTCTCCTGCATCAATCTCTCGGTGCGGGAGCAGGTCCGACTTCAAGTACACACCGGCGGAGGAGCAGAAAATGTATTGGTCGAGAGCAGGTATGTACTTGAAGTGCTACTTGCCAAGTGCAGGAAATAGCAATTATGACATGACCGCCATTTTCAGCAGCAAAATATGGTCGAATTTCTACAACGAACATTGAGCTCAATAACAAATCCTCTACTTCTCCGAGGTTACACTTGAGAAACCTAACTCGTCTGGACCATCTCCTCCATTCAGGAGAACTTAGAAGACCAGTGACCACCACTTCGATGAAATGAGATGGAAACGCTTCCTGTTCGGAAGGAAGAAAGGTGGGTGGTTGACGGTGGGAAAAAAAAGAGCGCCTCAATCTCCGCTTTGAGAAACTCCTCGCAAAAGACGCACAATCGACGCGCAGACACCACCGCCAGCACCTCCAAGAAGAATAGAAAGATGAGCACCCACCTCAAGCGAGTCCACCAGCATCCAAGAACGACGAACACACTCGTGCCCTAAACCACCACCGCTGCTTCCCTCACAGACCAATCCTCAGGAGACCAACGCTTCGTGAGCACGAAATTCTGCCCAACGCACGCACAACACCAGACAGAAAGCACGGCACAGGGACGACGACAGGCTACACGCTTCGCTGTGAGTTCTTCGAGTGAAATGAACGGGAAAGTCCCCACTGGAATTCCCGTCGGTCAATTACCCTACTGGCAACAAACCGTCACCGTCACAAACATGAGTCAAGCCCAACCCACTCCACACTCGGAGAATCCAGGTCGACGCAAAAGGGAAAGTCACTCTACGCTCCCAACGCTTCCAGGCTCGACTCAAAGAACTGACGTTCTTCGAGCCGTCCCCGACTGTATACCCCTCGTGACCGGAACCCTAACTTTACGGCTAAATATAGTAAGTGTCTGAACTTCGTGAGCCGACTCGTAACTACATGACAACGGGCTCATGCTCCCATTGAGACACTATACAACAATTACCTTCGAAGCTAGACGTAGACGGATACTATAATGGGGCATTATTATCAACGAACGTGTCAAGTGTGCAGAAGCTTTATACTAGTGGGCAGCTTGCGTGAGTTCGTATGAAAAACTCGAGCAAAAGTGTTTGCCTACTTGCAATTCATGATGATGGCGCCGCATTGAGGAAACATGCAGATTGGAATTGTGTAGTATGATGTCCACCTTTGAAGGTGTTCTCTTCACACAAAACAGGAATTTCTTTTTACAAGCTCAAGTTCTTTGCCAACATCCGCTTGATCTCTTTTGCAGGTGGTGATCTCTTTTCATGGCAGACTTTCCTACACATCATGAAGCCCGAGCTTCAGACCTGGAGCTTAGTTTCACGTGTGACCAGGTGCTCCAGAAACGGACGTCGTCTGATTTGGAGGCACCGATGCTCGAGACCTGCAAAGCCATGGGTCGAGCAGACCGGGTCAAGAGTTCACCATCACTTCTGCCCCATAGCCGCCTTCCATGAACGAACGACGGCTCAAGTGGAAAGTCCTTCACTTGATGGACTCTTCAAAGCAGAGGGAGGACTCGGAGCATGCGTCGAGGATTATCTGGACCACGTTCGTCTATCTGATTCCCGGGAGGGCTCAAATAGACGAATGTGTACGAGGAGTCACCCATTCTTGGCAGCTTCATGATGAGCACGGTAACAGTGAAGACAACAGAGAGAAAACTTGGTATCTTTGCGCAAAGTGATAAAAGAGGAGTCAACAATCGTTTACTTATGATTGAAAACAGTGCAGTGAGACAGGAGATACTTTGGTGGACGTAGAAAGAGTTAGGCAAGAGATGGGTCGTCGTCCACCTGCGTCGAAATCCAAGTATCTTCTAATTTAATCATGTTGACGCAATGGATCCAAGCTCAAGACTAATCAGATCAGAATCACGCAGCTGGAGAGATGGGCTCAGCATGGAGACTCCTCGGCAAGTGGCAGTCAGCACCATAACTGCCAAAGTACAGCCGACCCTCACGTACGGATCGAGTACTGTACTCTACAAGATAGGAACGATCTGCAGAATGGATTTGTCTGAAGGGAAATTCATCTCCTTTGACAAATGCAATCGCATTCGATGAGAAGAAGCAATTCGAGCCTCGGATGGCCCAGAGAGTAAAAGGTAGGAGGCAAAACGTGGGACTTGTGATTATCTTTGCTGGTTTGAGTTACCTTCCTTGAGGTAACACCTTCTATCTGTTATAATGGGTTACTGGGAGTGTGTTGGCACACGCTAACTTATAGGCAAGGCTTGTGTTTATATCTGCCTTAGATTATGTCAATGATTGTACCAGTGATGGTAAAGAGCGCTGACCTTTTGCAAGACTTACTTCGATTTATTAGGAAGATCAGTGTCAGGAGGCGAGGCTCTTAATTAGCAGGCAGGCGGGCGGAGTTGTTTAAGAAACACAAAGATGTGGCCTGCACGTCCACGGTGAGCAATGTCACGTTATTTAGGCCGTCAGTCGTGCACACCATTTATTTCCTCGACAATCTTAGTGCCAGGTCAAAGATAATAAAGTACTGTCTTAAGTTACATTGAAACTTCGAATGTGAAAGATGTAATAATTCTCTCAGTATCGACCTTTCAAATTTTAATCTCTCCTCCACATTCTTTAGACATCGGTTCTGATCACTAACTCTTTACTTCGATCTTGTGACTCTCGAGTTGGAACAAACTCCAGCACAAGACTAGCGTGGCAAATGCAGGGAAAAAGGGAAAGCACGAAAACGACTCCCACAAAAGCTCCAAATGTCCTTTTCAAGTTGCGTCTTCCTGAGATCCCCCACTCGAACATCCAATGATTTCCAGATCAACTCTTCGCGCTCATGTCTTTCGTTTGGGAAAAGATTCTTCTAATTTTAAGAAAAGTCCACCATCATTGAATCAGATTCTAGTGCTTCATCCATCATCGACAGTACTCCACCTTTACTTCCTCTGTCTGCATGAGACGGAGTGTTAACTAGCACTTTTTTCACAACATTGTACCTCATCGTCTCACGGAACGAATTCTGTCTTTGTCCCGCACCAGGAATAGAGGCGATTCGAGAAAACTCGAGCCATATGCAGCAAAGCAACGAGCGACACAAGATGCTCGCGGAGGAAGAAACAAGCACAAGCAGATATCGTAAAGTTCTCGCTCTAACGAGTAAGATGAAAGCCTAGGCTTTCATCTTACTCGTTTCATCATGCCGCATGTTACCACCGATCTCGTCTCGTTAATGTACGACTTCTGTCATTCTATCATTCTTGTCATTTTCATTTCAGCGGGAACCCGAAGCTATATGTCTCAAGAGGGATCAAGGGGGAGCTCTCGATCCCTCTTCGTTGGGGCAGTGGGTCACGGAGTGATTACATGGCCCTTTATGAGTGTTTTATGTCGAAGGCGAAGTGTGTTTGATGCAGAAAGGATGTGATCCACATGCTGAACAAGAATGTGTAGAATATCGAGAAGGAAAAAGGCAAGTGAGAGGAGGAGATTTCCACCTCACAAGCAGGAGACGAACATATTTGAAAGAGAAGGAGACAAGCTTGGAAAGAACACGGGGCAAATCGAAGCTTGAATTATACTCCAATGTCCAGATCGCTTGAAAGAGCAAAATAGTTCGAGGCAGTCGCGAGGGAGACGACAGTGCAGGAAAGAGCACTGAATCTGCCGAGAAAGAGTAAGAAATTGGATGCATAATTTTCTCATGCGTTACGATCGGAGATTGGAATATTGGCAGCAGTAGAGTACGGGCCCTTTAATTGGCGATCAGACGGATCGAGGAAGCACAGAAAAGAATGGGGCACGATTCATGAAGGCCGGCAGTGCATGCAATCGATCGACTTTCCTCACCCGACGAGTCGTGCGGTAGGTCAACGCCCGTTCCTCATTGTCGTCGTCGCCTCTCGTTCCACCGCATTGCTCCACATTCCTTCCAGTTCGGTGCGACCGATGGATTTCGAGCACGACCGCCAGAGGTCCGCGAAGCTCTGCGGCAGTTTCCTCCGATCCCTCGGGCTTGCGAATCTCCGAGAGTTTCCACCCTGTTCGAGCGCGGTACTGCATCATCAACGTGGTTACACTTCCATGGACGCAGTTCTGGATTACGTCGTCGGAAGCCTCAACGCAGTGCTGCGAGCGGTCGGTGGCGGGCACGGTGGCGGAAACCAGTAGCGCGACCTTTAACGCTGACCGGAAAGTCTTACAAAGCGCTAGAAGCCCACCGGTCGCCTACCCACCGTCCCAGAACTGACGGAAGTATAGTTTTCTTCGACCGGGAACCGCAATATTGTGCCGCAAAAGACCTGACGATCAGTTGCGAATCATACTCTTGGTGATACCACGGTTGAGACTGCAGTCCGGTAACCTTCTCACGGAATGTCCATCTTGTATTTTCGAGCAAGTAAATTCCGGAAAGAAATTATTTTTTTCCAGAAAACCAGACGGATGGATATTTTCCTCCTAGAGTATATTACCATTTACCATATACATATCGAATTCACAGAAGAAGCCTTCTCTATTAAATTATTTTTATTTTCTCTCTCTCTCTCCCCCCCCCCCCCCCCCCTATGGCAGCACGAGGCTCCCTCCCTATTGAGTATCATCCCTTTAACGATGGACTCAGTACTTGGTGACTGCCGCCTCCGACTACCGAGTGACTTGACGATGCCAGGACAACGTACGTGGCTGCGTTCTCCCGGAGGCTACCACGTCCAGTCGGTAGGTCCGGAAGTCGGGAACTCCACCGCTCCTCCCGGTTCTCGGTCAGGCGTGACCGGCAGCGGAAAGGGGACCTAAAGCGGTGGAAAAGCAGAATGCCGGGTGGGGGGGTGGAGGTGGGGGGGTACTAGGGAATGATTCTGGCGATTTGGGTGATTCGAGTTTGGAGTCGGGAGGTCGGGAGGTGCGAGGGGTGCACAACGACCACCGCTCCCCGCGATTCGTTCTTCCGTCCTGGAGGCGCACCTTTGCTTTCTCGTCGCCATGGAGGACGTTACGCGATTCACTGTCGTCGAGGCGACCACGCCCGAGTTGGAGTCCACTTCCTGCAACCCACACGTCACGACACATCACGAAATGATGGTCACGAGATCTCCACAGTCTCTCTGCTCTCTCGCCTCCCTCCCTCTCTGCCTGCCTCTCTTCCGATCGACTCACATCGAGCCCGTCCAGACTCCAGGACAGCGATCCGAAACTCGCTCGGGCAAGGAATTCATCTGACCAATGCCCCTGCGAGGTCCACAGAATCACAATGGATGATCCCCAACATGATTCTGAACCGGGGCTGTGGCCGACGTCCACAATTGCTCTCACGTCATGATGGTGAAGAAAGAGCTGAGCTTTGCATTCCACTTGTCCTTGTCGTTTGTTTGGCAAGGCTGCAGTGGAGCAGCATTATCTCTCGCACACCCAAATGACTGGCCAGTGTCGACTGCATCTGGACTCGCGAGCCACCGTATTATCTGGATTCTGGCTGTAGCAGCTGTAATTTACTCTTGCCTGACCTGACTCACTCCCTTGTTGCTCTTGCTCGGGCTTCTCTGCCCAGGGCTCGACGAAACCAACGGCATGGGCACAATCTGAACCACCTAGATCTACACTTTTCCGTGCTTGATTTACTTCCTGTGGTTGCAAACCTGAATGTGGACCAGCTGCAGGGCGAAAGGATAAAGGATTGCTCTCGAAAAGAGAAGTTCTTCCGATTTTGTAGATTTCCCTGTACGGCTTGATGTTTGGGGGCCTGCTTACCAACATTTGTGCTATTTTACTTTGGGCCCCCCGTCTACTAACACTTGCTGCATGTTTGAGTGTCCAAGCTTTCTCTTCTCCTCTCTTTCTTCTCTGTCGGACCCGACAGCACCTCGAACTTTGGCTTTTGGTAAATGGGCTTTTGGATAACACGGACAACAACTTCAACCAATTTTACTGTACTCGACAAATTGTCATGCGATCTCTTCTTCGATCCAGGAAAGTGTGAGAAAAGAGTCTCGAATCTTTCGCATATGCGCAAGGAAGGTCATAAAATATCCCTCGAGCTCCTTTTCGCCTTTCGTCCGACTTCGAGTATCATGATTTCGTTTCACATGGTCGAGCCTGATCTCCAGCCTTGGCTAGCACAGATCGCCTGGACAATAAGTAGACTCTCGGGTCACGCACGCAGACAACTTGTGACTCCAAAAGGGCGCATATGATGATTTGGAGTATATGTGTGGACTCAACTGTCCATGACAGAAGGCCCGGAGGCGGAGAGTGCTGAACTCATGAATCTGAAATGAGTGCTGCACATCTACGAGCATTTGTCAAACCAGTCATCTTCATCCAGATCTGAGACCACTGTCTTGCAGGAACGACCGGCAGGGCTGGCAGAGAGATGGAGGGATGGATGGAATGCATGAGCTTCAGAAGCCGAGATTGCCATGTTCGCTTCGGACGGCGGGATAGACTTCGAGCTCGAGTCCACGGCTCAGATTCGCTCTCTGTAGCTACGAATACATGTCTGCGTAGCTACGTTGCCATGACGAGGAGACGAGGACTCGGGGCAGGAGTTTGAATCACGTGCAATGATGCAATCTCCTCGCACATGAAGAAAAGCCATTCATGATGCTGACTCGTGCGAAGCAGGAAAGTGGAAAGCGGAGCGAGGGTGGCGATCTTTCGTTGCAGAATCCAGATTTTTTCCAATTAATGACGACGGACGATTTCGGTTACTTTCAATTCGGACAGAAGGACGAGCTGGAATCAGCAGCGAAATCCTGCGGCATATGCTTGGCACCGTCGAATCAGTTCTTCAAATGGGGTCAAACGCCCCGCCCATCCCACGCCATTGTCTTTTATTGGATGGAAGTTCATGGAACCCAGTCAGAAATATCGTGCGGCTCGAGTGTCGTCCAGAGCACCTTACGAGACCAGAACCTTCGATTATTAACAGGAAATGCAGCCCCACCGCCTCGTAGGATGAGAATATTCCAGATCGAAAAGAATTGCAAGTGCCATGTACGACGTTGACGCAAGCTTCCGTGAGCGACAGCCATGTCTCGCTGCTTGCTCGCTTCCTGCTGTACAGCATGTCCATGTTGCAGATCCAGAGATTTACTGGACCGAGGCATGCTCGTCTCGCATGCAAATAGGAACATCTGAAACTGGAATTCGTGAACTTTCTATTCATGAACTTTGTTTCACTGAGGCAGCCAAGACTTCAAATTCAAATTCGTATTGTATTGATTTTCGTGACCAATACACATGAATTTGATGTGATTTGGTAAGGGGAATCAACAAATATATTTATAAAGTAGAGGTATAATAAAATAAATAAAAGAACCTCCCAGAATTTCCATAATAGAAATTTTTGTTCAATATAACTATTAATGTCTGAAATAAAATATACTGGTATTTTGAAAATAATCTTTTTTTCACACTACTCTCACAGAAAATAGAAAAGTTCGGAAGTTGTGAAGGAGAACTGATTTTACGCGGTCCTATTGAACGTAAGTTTCTTGTGATGGCTTTTTAGGTTCCTGGAAAGTTCGCTCTTCGCCCTGAAAACCTTGGAACATAGTGGGGTTACAAGAGTATTGTGAAACGGAGTGATTTTGCACCTCTAGAGTATCTCAGATAGAATGGATTCTATATCATAAACCCGATTCTCAGCACAGTTAATGTGATGCAATATTCTCCCCATTATAATTGATTACATTCATGTCTATCTTTGGTATTAATTGGTGATGGTTCTAGGCGTATAGGAATGGAGTGAATTATATTGATTTAATGAGCTCTAGGTCTTCATTGTTTCATATGTATGGAGCAAGTAAACCAAGTTTGAATTTGATATATTTCCTTCTTAGAGTTTATCGATAGTTTCTCACACATTAAAGTAATGGCTTAAGATTTTTTTAATGTTTTGTTTTATTCTTGGAGATTCTATTAATGGTTGAGTTCTTTTTTTCCAGCACAAGATGAAATGTGAACCTTCCATTTATGATTCATTGCCAACTGTATGACGTCTCATCAGTATAAATTGAATTTACAATGTTTTCAGTGTAATGACATATTTTGACATGTATTCAAATACGTGGATCGTTATTCCTTATCAATTTCCACTGTAGTATCTAATTAATATTGAAATAAATTTATAATGAACATCACATTCTGCCGGTTTTTGTGAGAGTGACAAATAACTCTTTAGTGATTGTTCACACGACATATTCATCAGTTCATATTTCAGACAATTAGAATAAGTCGCAAGACTTTGAAATTGTATGCGAACTTCCGAATACAAAAGTCCATGAGAAACAATTCTTGATTTATTATCCGTAATATTATAATCTACAAGTAATATTTTTCATTTACCAACATACAAAATAAGTATTATACACGAATCAAGATTGCATTTAATTGTGATATCTTTGTGTAATCATTCAAATCAACCAATGGACACATGATATTAAACTTATTCAATAAGCTTGCTTTTGTTAACAGTTTTTCCCATTAGAATATATCTGTATGTATGAATAGATATACTTACTCACTCTTAAAGGTAAAAGGAAAAACTTTCCAGAGATGAACTTTGATACAAATTTCAACAAAAACCGAATTTAAAAGCTTCTCAAGCTAGTTTTCGAAAATACAAACTGACAAAGTATTATACTACTTTTAAACATGAGGTCACAATCTCCATATTTGTTTCCAGAATTAGTATGAAGTTTTATAACGATTGAATTGTTTCTAATACTGTAAATGTGTGTAAAATGATCAGGAGTGCAGGCTTCCGTTTCGAACCTGCAATATACCTTTATTCCGATAAATTTCTTTGAAAATATTCGCACAAATCTCCTACCTACAAGACTGAAATCAAAACCTACGGGGAGGTCATAAATATCTAAAAGTATAAAATTCTAAAAATATAAAAGAAATATGACTATGCTGGAGAATACCAAGAGTTAGACATATGGCCTCATGATGAAGTTGACAGAATTACGTAATCGGCATACAGAAGTGGTTGAAGTGCGTCACGTCAGAGGTGCACTCATCTTTTCATGGCGTTACCAGAGACTTGGTAACGCCATGAAACCAATCAGTCGAGAGTCAATGCAATGTGAGTGATGATGGACACCTACGGACGTAGCTATCCGATGCTGACAAACGGACGGAGAGAGAGAGAGAGAAAGAGATAGAGAGAGAACTGGGTAAGCATTGTCTAGCACAAGCGCACCATTTGTTTTAGCTTATGCGTGCAGATATCAGCTCCCATGAACGTCGAGTTGCACAAGTTTGTTTTGGGATTTTTACCTTGCTCGACTCTGTAGCAACAGAAACTGCTTTCTCTCCCGTTGCTTACCGGTAGGATTCTCATGATCAGCCACTGATTAATAGGGGTGTGAAGTTCATGAACATTCACTTCACTAACTGCTCTACTGCTTGATACTTTTACCCAAGTACCAAGCATTTACAAGAAGTTGCATGTAAGATAGGAAGTATGACACATTTATTGGAAAATAGTTAAGAATTTAACCAATGGAAAATTATCCCCATGCGAATAAAGCAGAGACCAAAGCACTAATCAATAATTTACCAATCCCACCTAAAGTTATCTGTATCTCACCCATCGCTCCTCTAATATCTCTTGAGAATCGTAAATTCAAATGAAAAGGGGCCTCAAACAAGCATCGCGTGTCCTAGTATTCAGAGTTTCTAAAACTGATTAGTACATAACGTAGTGATTCAACTGCACCGTCACACAGAACTGAATACTTAAGAATATCAACAAACACACCCCATGTCTCCTCACATGAAGAAATCTAGAGGTAAGGGTTTTCGCATGCAGCCTACGACAAAACTATCCATAGTGTCCTAGATCTCCACCCATCTCTGTAGGAGATGGGAATGTAATTACAAAATCACATGCCCCTTCAAACTTGCGAAGGACGTCTGACAACTTATCTCTCCCACGTTGGATGAAAAAACTGCACCCTTTGCAAGAAACAAAGCAACACTAAACTGTACGAGTACGTGAAAATTTCGCAATCTTTGTGACCAGCCATAAAGATTTGTAACGGTCTTCAATAGGAAGGTAGAGAGTAAGTCAGGGCAGATTGACACAAGTCTTGATTTGTAGAGGATCGTGACTAGTCAGTAGAGTGAATGCACATGAAGGCCTCAAGGAACTTCATCTTTGCCTTTTGACATCTGAAAATTCTTTTCGATCGACGCTGCATGACTCTTGCTTCTTCGTGACAAGATTGCTATTACTAGTTTCAAAATATTTCTTTTGCAGAAATTTCTCTGTAACTGACATGGATTTGAAACCTGACTATGCTCCATCCAAAACGACCTGTCTCCGTTGAGTAAGGATGTACAAGACGTTCCTAATTTCGTACTTCCCTAAGGTCCTGTCTTTGCAATGTTGTACGCCAACCCTTACCATAAGCTCTGTCACAATCCCACCTCGTCTTAACACCATGGCTATACATCTGAGGATGGAGTTTGCACTTCAGAAACCGAAAGATTCAACTGCAGATCATTCAGGAGTCGTCGGGAAAAATTCCAATAGCATTCAAACAGCATAGACAAAAGCACAGCACTCATCTCACAGCACTAGAACTTATGCAGGAAGTACCGAAAATGTTGAGATAAGCGTAAGTTAAACCTTAAATAAAGGAGAAACTCCAAGCGAGTCTTGAGAAATAAAAACCATTACGGCAGCCAGTACAGTACAGAGACTTCCACATACAACACCATGCTCTTAACACCAACTTGGTTCAGAAAATGAATGACCCGAAGATATGACAAACTTACCATGCACTTCGATTCCTTGGGGTAATATACATTGCATAAACAATGAATACTCGGTTGATAAGCAACCAACCAGCTAAAAAAATTAGAGCCTAACCCGTGATGTAGTTTAAATACCGAAGGATTTGAAACAACACCATATACTCCTCAAGATCAGAGATCAACCTCACTCGTTAAGTCAGAGATGGAACCATAAAATCTAATTCCAACACCTAGCCTTATGATGTTGAGCGACTAAAGAACCCGTAATGCTTGCAACATTGGAAGAAATTCCTATATCGCCCAGCTTAAAAATTATCAGAAATTCAGGACCAGACTAAATAGTGTCCAGAAATTACCCCGCTTGGTCCACTTCGCTACGCTGGAGCAAAATAGTCGTGCCTCTTCAGAGCTTGGTCTGTTCAAAGCCTTCAAAGAGTCTTGGTTTGTCAAGCGCCATGTTGTGAAGACTATGTCAGAACCATCACAATCCTGGAGTCCTGCGGTAGCTCGCTGTTGACTGTTTGTCAAGATTTGTCATATGTATGTAGTCAACTTGAAACTTGACAGGCAGCAAGGGTTGCGGGTTGCAAAGCATTTTGTACAGCTTCTCGGACCTTCCTGTTTCGGCGACAAACGTCCGACATCTCCTCAATAGATCTGGTCAACGTAGGAGAGTCTGTGCCATTAACGGCCATGGATATGGCTTGCAGAAAACTCACTCTCTCTGCGTCCTTAACGACGGATGCTGGTATAAGAGCTATTACTTCTTGGGCCCATTGAGCGACAAGTTGGCCATATAGGCGCGTCATGGAGAGCAACACCTGAATAACTTCGTCCATCCGAGATTCCGGCAGGGCTCCAACCAGGCATCCAATCACAAGTCTGGTCAAAGTTGGCCCAGCAGGTAACGCCACTGCATCAACAGCTGCTCGAAATTGCTTTCCCGAATGGGACGTGGGAAGATCTAAGAAGTCCTGGAAAAAAGTTAGGATCGACCGACATGCTTCCCTGCAACAATCACCAAAAGATAGAACACACTGTTAACAAAAGAGGTGGAACACTCTTGAAACAAATGATAGCAATACGTCGGAAGATCGGTAAATACAAAAGCATGCTTCATATCTGAACATATTCAGGACTCTGAAGAAGCACATGCCAATAGCTTCATTCAGGAAAATTATGCATATAAGTGTTTCTCCACAAAGAAAATTGGTGCTTTTCTTCAGTTCTTCGTGAGAGCGTACCTGTGTTGAATCGTAATACCAGTCATGGCGCAGGAAAATAAGGGAGCCATAGTAGGAGATGGGACCAACAGATGGGGACAGTAGCGGATGCATCGTGATGCTAAAAGAAAACAGTCATCCGCTACATCTGGTTTTGAAGTGAAATCCTGACAAAGAAAAGCCCGGTGAGTTTGTGAGTGCTTCTGGATCATAATCAACTCATCCTGATCCATAACATCTGAAAAACTAGTTTATCTCAGTAAGAAGCCGAACAAACGAACTGTATTTGCTACAAGCGGCAAATTGAAAGACATCTAACCTGTATGCTTTGGAGAAGTCTGATCGTCTGGCCAAAAAGCACCGTAATAAGAGTACCCAGATAGCTGGCACAACCTGGATCACTTCCATACACCTGAGGTACAGCAAGTTCGATCAGAAGCAACGACAGAGAATCCGATTTCACGTTCATAAGTACATACAAGGTTGAAAAGCATTCGCATCTACGGGGACAAACCTTTATAACTTCACTTGCTAAATACAGCAAACATGAATGTTGTTGTTGCTGAAAGCGTTCTTGCAGCTCCTCCAGTAGTAGTCCCATCACAGCTCCCAAAGCTCTTCCACAGTTGCGAACCTTCAGTAACGAAAGGTTAAATTTTAGACCTCGCGTCCCAACAGAAGTGATTTATGAGGCCTTTCAAGGAGAAGGTCAAAGGAAAGCAACCACAAACATCACCTCCTAAGGCACCAAGCGAATGCAAGAGTTCTTACAGCATATTTGCATGCTCGACAGAGCCTTTCCATGGATTTCCCATCAGCAGCTCTCCTGTTTGACAAGGATGGAGTTCCTCAGGACATACGCCATACATATACGACAGCTCCAAGTACACAATCAAGCATAAGAACACCAGTCGTCACAATCAAACCTCATCCATTGATAGGATATCTGTAGCTCAAAAAACATCTGAGACCAGGGTCCACTTCCAGATAGATTAAGCTCGTTTTTCTCGAACTACTTACAGGTTTGAAGGTGTGGGTCAGTTAAACTTACTGGACGAACACAAGCTTCAGCAGTGGCCACATTCGCTGAAATACACCAGCTAGAATATCTGGTTGAGTAACATAGCTGCGCTCAAAATGAAAGTCAAATAGTTAAAAAGGGAGTCCAATCTCAACCACGCAAGGAGTGTTCAAACATAACGGAAAGCCGACGGATAGAGCAATTGAGGTAGACTGAGTTCTGCTGGCTCACCGAAAAATATTGCCAATACGATCAATATGAGCAATATATTGATTTGCTGTGAATGTCTGGGATGAACCACTTTGTTGGGCAGCAGCCACCAGTTCCTACATGCGTTTGATATGCTTAAAAATTAAAAATTGGAATGCACGGTTTACGGAGACCGAGGACAATTAATCGTCTGGCCAGACACCAACCACACGGCGAGGTCGTGTTTCATCATTAAAAGATAGCTTTAAAAACCCATAGAAAAAATGTTCCGACAAATCTCATCCAAAAAAAGAACTCCCAACTGAGAAGATTACAGCTTGGTAAGCGCTTCATACTTCTAGGGGTACCATGACGGGGATGCACAAAGCCTCCATTGCGTGCGGAAGCTTGTCTGCTGGAAGGGCACTGACAACGATACTGCACACAACACGGCCCAGCCAAGCCCAATAGAACCAAGTTTCAGGAACCCAAGAACTGAAACCAATCAAAAAGGTAACAAGATACGTACCACAATAACTGAAATGGACATAAGAGGCTTAGAGCACCAGGTTAAATTCAAACCTAAGACCTTCAACCAGCTGCAGCTCATCTTCAGAGGCAAGATGAAAATTTCCTTGTCCACTCATCACCTGTCGGTAAAGTTCCAGCAGTGCTTCCACGGACTGTCCAAGCTCTTTGCTGCAAGCTGTTTTCCAAATTTCCTAAAAATAGTCATTGTCGGTGGCTTCACGGAAGAAGATAGGTACCATCAAACTGACAGCGTTGAAATGTTAACAAGAAAATTCCAAAATCACTGTGCTTCCAATCGTTGAGTTTCAAGTCTTCCGATTTGAGGCACAATATCTAGCGCATTTGGAAGGTCAGCTACGGAGCAGACATTTCCGTTATGAATGCTCTTGAACGTTTAAGCTAAATTTGAAAGTCAACTCCGAGGAGAACAATTGTGTTTGATGATCAACTTACCATCACAGACATGCTTTAGAGCTAGAGCCGCAGCGGCACAAGGATCTTCAGGTACAGAAAGAGCATTGGTGAGAAGCCCCAAGAGAAGAGGTAACAATGGTCGTGCACTAGGTGCAACGCCCAGCCAATCTGCAAGGGATGCTACTGTCAACGATGCTGCACATTCACACAAACGAGCAGATTTACTTTAGTCAGGAACAACCGCCGCAGAGAAACCATTATGGACTTGATCAAACACTTCACAACGTACCCTGGATTTGGATAAAACGAAAAAGTCGATATTCAAGCATAGGATAGAGCTATCAAGGAGCTCTTTCAATGTTTCATTAATATCAAAAAATTATGCAGAAATAGGACCAAGCTAGGTGATGTTTGGCTGCGACGGGACATACATGTGTATAAAAGTTGGGGCTGGGGTGGGAGCTTTGATAAGATCCCTAAGACCTGCACTTGAAAACATAATCAAGTTAGTCATGCATCGGCCTAGATAGGATAAATACATCCGCTGGACTCACTTACTGCAGAACTGGACTAACATTATCGAGTCGATCTGATGACCTTGGGTGAAGCACTCGTTGTAGACAAATGTTCAAATCACCTTCTGATGACATTTTTAATGTCAAGAGTACCCACCTGAGGAAGGATAAGATTTTCTGAAAGTGGCACAGCCTTCGCAATCGCTCGGATGCAATAGAGAGACGCCTCGACTGATCGCCATTCCCAACTTCCTCCATTATCTACATTCGCAGCCATCTACTCACACACAGCATACCATTAGTAACTACCAAGTAATTTAATTACAAAATATGCGTCCGATACTTATCCATGCATGAAATCGATAAGAAATTACCTGTAATAATGGTTGAGATAAAAGACGTAACGTGGCGTCGCCACCGAGAACAGCTGCTGCATCCAGTAACATGTCTGCAACAGCTGTTGCAACATACAAATAAAGAGAACTAATATCAGTCTTCAACAAAACCTTTTAACCAGTGTTCAGGAGGTCATCTTCAACCACTAAGTTCACAGAAACAGGTACTCAAGTAGCACAAGATAGCAATTATATGGTCATGTTTGACATGGATTTGACTCGAACATACCATATCTTGTCTGCTTGAAATCAGCTAGCTCATCCTTCCTCCAGGCCTCGAACCCTGCAGGGTATGTAACTCGAAAACTTACCTGCATCCAGATTAAAACACGTTGGCTCTACTCAAACCAGTAACTGGTCTAGATGCCTGAATGACATCCTTGTTCTCAAGTGAAGCAGCTATTTATATTTTTCCATACATGACCGTTGAGGATGTCGTAACTTATGTCAACAAATCTTGTACACTCGTAAAGGTGGTCTGAATCCACTAAACACATGTGACCGGAAACCATGAGTAAATGCAAGCGAAGAGGGTCCTGAATTTACAGCCCTGCCACTTCTACAAAAGTATAACTTATACTTGACGTACCAGAGAAACCAGTAGCTCAAATGTAGGCTTGAAAATTGCTATTCGTTTCTCTCTCTCAGCGGCCACGGCAGCTTCTTCTTCCAGCTCCTCTTGCTCGTCGCTGAAGTGATCACAACATACAACTTATTAAAGTGTAGAAATATTATCGTCAGTATGTGATATCCCGAGTCGTTACGCTACTTATAACCTAGGACTTGAGAACATGTACTTGAAGCTTATGAAAATCCACGCAAAGTCTGCCAAGTTTGACAACCGGAACCACTTACCACTTCGATTCGCAATGATTAATATCTATAAGATTAACCTTTTTTTGACATATAATTCGCACGGTTCTTTCGACGAAAATCTGATTGCAGAACAATTGGACTATATAAATAAGTAGAAGTCATCACTTTGAATCTTTAAGCATTATCAAGCCTTCACAACCACACTTACCTGCTGGTCAACGTTTGGCTGAGCCTATGCCAGAAATTGAAAGTAATGGCAGAAATGTTATCATCAGGATGTGAGGTCACTTCCGCGATAGCTTCCACTATCATCAATGCTTCGTTGGATCCTGGTGGAACATAGTTTCAAGGAGCATGCTTCAAAATCGCGAGCTGAACACGTGAAAAAATAATACCCAAGTACAGCTCTAAGAACAATATACTGGACCTAATAAATGCAACTATCGTGAGCATTTAACAAGCGTAGAAGGTATATGCATTATAATCTGATCATTACATGATCAGATATATTGCACGCTGTCGTGACCAGAAAACAAAACAAAAGAGACAATTACTAACAGATTAGCGTGTCGTTCTAAGAATAATGAAAGCAAAAACATATCCGCCAATCAGACTTGCAATCAGTCAGCAGTAGAGGAGTTTTTAGTACCACTTGCGATCAGGTCAACGTAAGACTCCCCCATTTCAGCAAATAAATACGCCATACCCTTCATTGTATCTTCATCCTGCACAACAGACTCAGCATCAAAAACGCAATTTCGAGTGCTTAAATCAAAGAACCATACAAGGTTAAAATGTTACGACGAGTGACCTTTAACAAGAAAGCCATCTGCTAAAAATGGCATTGCTACATTCAAACGTAATACATCTATACCTCGTCTTCTCCATCATAACCGTTGGTCTCGCCAATCTCTTGTTGTGCACGTTTTTCAGCAACTGCTGCCTGGACAAAGAATAAATGAGCACAACAAAGAGCAGGAGTAAGAACATCTTCAAAGGTGTGACCGATAACCAAACACAACCATGAAACAAAAAACAGAAACAACAGGAAACTACATACAGTTCATGAAATACTAAGTCTATGACCATAACTTCGACACTTTCCATCTTCATCAATGCGGTACCTTCACTGCAGCTGCAAAACGAGGTTTTAAGGCCATTATTCTCGGTACAATGACTTGCACCAAGGACATGTGAGATGCCAAATCAACTGGATTTCCGCTCACAGTGAATCTAATGAGTTCGGTGGCCGCTGCACATATCATAAAACAGTGGATTTGAATCAGAAAGCTACAAATGATAATGAGGAAGGAAGACCCAGTTTTACAAGATTTTAGAGAAACCAAGAGATCAATATTTAGTGCCTCGAAGACTGTGACCCGGTGTCGACTGGTTCGTTTGCAACTAGTATTGTGCTCTTGAATAGAGCGGGAATTATGCATCAGGCAGGTCGGGGTAGACTCACAAGAGCAGCATACCATCCACTGCAGCATCAAATGTTTGCTCTGAATCCAAGCCCGCTAATGAAGCTGCAACAAGAGGATGCGTAGCAAGAGTCGCAGCAGACATCCTGCAGAGAATCATGAAAACAACGGCCTCATTATCTACAGCGTTCGTATCCGACACAAACCATAACATCGCGAAATCTTGCGCATGAATCTAGCGACATGTAAGCATGTGAGTTGACTAGATTTCGACGTCATAAAGATCCTTTGATTTATCGGCTGCGTCTGGAATGAGCGGGCTGATGTGACATACCCATAGCTCAGCCGCATCCAAGCTGCGAAAGCCCTTAGCACCTGTAAAAATTGACTTGAAAACTCAGTGAATCCAGAACAAGGCCGATCTGTTTGTAAACTGTGATCTCAAAGTTTGCTGTAGTGCCGAAATCAACCCAAACGGATGTCCCCGGTAGGATAGCAAATGGACGAATCCTTGCCTCCGGATAGTTATTGTTGCGGAAGAGTGGATATCGGAAATGCATAAAAGCACCCGCTCAACTTGGAAAATCTCCCTACCTGCTCCCGCAAACTTTCCTCCCTCAAACAGGATGTCAACAAACTGAAAGCATCCTGAACGGATCCAACCAGCTCTCGCTGGAACTGACGACGTCTCTCTGGCCGAACAGAAATCTTGTAACTTTGTGCCTCCTGAAGTAAATGAGATGTCATCAGACATGATGCGGGCAAGGAAACGTAAAGTTGAAACAAAAGAAAGGGCACCACAGGATTTAGACTTGACAACAAAGACTATGGGCAAAAACTTTGTAGCATGGATGTGTAAGATAGATGTACTATTTACAACTCACAAGATCCTTGAAACAAGATAGCCTGGAAGTAGCCAAGGACCAACTGACCTGTGGTAGTACTGTCACCAACTCAAGTAGACAAGGTATGGCATCTGCGTGAGAACCCAGTTCTTTTCCCAGCCATTGTACCACTCCTCCTGTGCCCCATTCCTCTGGAGGCATGTGCACAGCCAGAGCAACCATGCCCAAGCACAACTGCATGCTCCAAGCTTTAGAATAAGCACGCCTTATCACATATATCAAGTCTTATAAACTTAGGCATGTGATGTACAAAGAAAAAGCTCGTTCAAAGTGAAATTCAAGAGTCTCGCACCTGGGTTCTCACAGTAGGAGGTCCTTGACGGAACTTTATCAGCAGAGTCTGGTATCATGCGAGTAAAACATCAAAAAGTTTGCAAGGGAGAAAAACACGCGCCTGTGCGTTATGTTCAACGAGATATTGCACGAAATCACAATCACAATAGGGGCTCTTCTTCCATGAGTGTGCAAGTCAGCTTTCAAAAGATCCTTCCTTACCATTAAAGAATTGCGCAAAGACAAAGGTGCATTGGGTGGAAGGTCTTCATAATCACGCTGGACCTGAGGTTCATGGCAGATGGATATAATTAGCAGGGTTTCTCGTTAACTCTCATATAGATAATGCGGCTAAGAATGGTACAGGAATCTTAAAGACACTGACTCAATCAAGCCTGCTAGAGAATGTGACAGATACCTTGGTGCGAATGGTTTGCGCACAGAAGTACAGCGCTTCGAGGTTGCTACTTGGATCATGAAGAACGTTATCTGACACCTGTCCGGATACATATAGAAGACTTAGTCAGTTCCCACATAGAGATGAATTCGAAAAGATGAGCACAAACACTACAATGGATACGGAGATCGTGTGATTGATGTAATCGGACAAACAACAAAAGTCACCAACTTATGTATAAAACATGAAGTACGAGCCTGAATCACCGAACTTTTATTCTATAGTCCTACATTGATATGTTTACATTTCGATTCCAGTTTCAAATTTTGTGGAAGAATATCCCATTGACATACGTACTTTGAGCTGTGCTTTCATTAGTAAGGGATCACTGAGCGAGTCACAAATCTGTGAAAATAAGTCAAGATATTCGGACACTTGTAGGTACGTAGTCCTTTTATTTTTAAGTTTACCGGCTCTTGGGAGTACACGTCGGCATGAAACATTTGTAAACGACCATGAGAAGTGAACGTCTATCAGTACTTCTTGTGTAAGCATTTTGCTGTTCACTTTTGCGCTTAAGCCTGAACGATGGATATATTGGTCAATACTTTAAACGAAAGTTTTGACCCGTCCATCCAAGAGTTGTAGATGCTCCATACACACAATAGAGAAGGTTTGGAGAAACCAACCAACAAAATATACATGCCCTGAAAGCTCCATCAGCCGAATCTTCATATGTCAGCTCTTACTTCCGTCCTTGTAACGCACCCACAGGGTATGAAGAATTTGGGCTGGTATTGTTGCAGCTTCGAATCATAGGCGCTTCTAAACTTACATTTTTGAAGCATGTAGAAGAATTCTCTTTGGACTGGCAACCTAATCTCGTCTTTTATCATAAAGTCGATTCATTTTGAATCCTTAGATGAATGTACATTGTAAACGGCTTTTAAGTTTCAAAATTATTAATTTTTTCAGACTAGTTGTCGAAGAAAGTAGACTTCAGTCTCTGAAAATAGGGTTTCCGTTTTCGAGGATGACATCCAGAGAAGCACAATGTACACAAATCCCACAGAGCTCACATGCATAAACAGAGAAGGTCCAGCATATTAGGGAAGTGAACTTTGCCATGCCTGCCAGGCCTCCATGGTATGCTGAAATTGATCCAGCCATTGATTGGCAGCAGTGCGAATTGCAGGATCAGGATGATGATACAACGCCTGCAACGCCTCCAGCAGCACGGCTCTGGAGCCATGACCCTCCATCTCCCTGCTTCTTTCGACAGCAATACACTCACAGTCACACTTTGTCAAAACCTCCACATTCTGCTGCCCTTCAACTCCTTCTGCCACCGGATCCTCTCCAGGAAGAAGATGCGACAACCGCCCGCCCGATCTACGAGGGCGTCATCCAGCTTAGTGCACCACAAAAGTGCCAATCCAGATTCAAACAATCTCACCTCCTTCTCCGCTCTCCCCCTCTCTCCCTCTCTGTCCCAGCTTCAAATCCTCAGTCCCTCGAGTGTCTCCGTGCTTCTGCCTCGCTTGGCTTCACACTCGGAATTGCTTCTCCAATTACCGGCATTTTCCCCTTTCTTAACCGACTCACTGATGAGCTTTACCGGCGACGTCTGAGGTTTACCTGAAGCGTGACCGGGAAAGACAACTGGCAACCCCATGTGCGTCAAAACACCTGCTGCGTGAACCTGACGACCGTAACTGGACTTTAGCGAGTATATTGTCCTTATGTGGCCTGGCAAGACCTCGATCACCGTGGTTTGAAGAATTATCAGTTCTCCGGTACCTTGAAACTCACGTCGGATAAGTTACCGACCTGTTTCTTAACTAAATTATCAACATTCTGAAATATACATGTAAGCTCATTTTGCAATATTATGATACAGCATTAGAGAACATGGGTTGCAAATCCTCATTCTAAACATATAACACAACTGAGTAGTTCAAGTAAATGTCAAACACAATGAGTAATATTTTCCATCGAATTTAATGAGAATACGTCGAACAAACAAAAAAATTGCTTATGTACAAAAAAAACAGCAATGTTTACTTCTGAAGTTCATAGATTCTTCTTGAATTTCTTGTATTTTGCATCATATTAATTACAAGCTCAACTCAGCCCACCTCTTTGAATCGAGTTCAAACGTACTTTGTTTGAATAGGAAAGAACTATACCGTTTAAGCTTTAGCCATATATGTATAACAACCTGCACACGCATACTGGTTCATACTGTTGATTCGTGTTTATAGTACTGTAACATTTCTTGCATGATCTGTGACCAAATTGAGAAATTTCCAGAAATTTAATGCCAAATTGAGTTTTCCTCTTCAAGTAAGTTTATAAAGTATACATGACAAGCATTAAGATATTTAGTCAAAATGGGAATTGACCGCCATTCCCAAACCGCCGGACTTCTGCGTTGTGGAACTGCAAAGTCACATCCCTACCATAATTATTCTCATGTGATACATTGTCCGTCGAAAAATCGTTTCTTAGATAATTCAAGGTAATAATTAAACAGTGATGATATAATACAATAGTATGCAATATACCATATCTCATTCGTTTATATTATTTTTTATTTATTGATGTAGTCAATATAAATTATTGAATTGACTACAATTAGAATCCTGTATGATATGATAGAAATCTATTTAATAAAGAATACAAATCGTGTACAATAGATGAACTTAACATGCTAATTTTTTTAGATTTTCTCACAGAAGACACAATATACATACAGTATCAATATTGTCTCTACTGTACAAATAAACACATATATAGACATACAAAGTCTGAATTAACGTTATAAATAAATCAGAGTGGATTTTTTTGGTATTATGATAATGTTTAGAAACAAATTAGTTGAATTATAAGAGAATCTAGTAAAAAACAACTCAATAATCAAATAATCACAATATTTCTAAAATGAGAACCTAACTTTATAACCATCAAAAAATCAATAGTTTCATCTTAAAACACTATTGATACGTTGCTGGCAATATTGAACAAAGAAAAGTTAAATTTTGATTCTATCTGACATAAGAAAATAATTGTTTTTTCTGCAAAAAACAATTACCGTTGTCAAAATTCTAATCATAATTAATACAACTTATTCAATCTTGTACAAAATATTTGGTAATTTATTGTGCATAATCTATTCTTTTAGTAAATAATATAAATGAAAAGTGATATTTTCAATTGTCATGAAATTATTAAGTTATTGGCACAACTGAAAATTTTCATTGAATGTTCTACATTGCGATTAAAACTATATTTGGAAAAGCAAACCCAAGATATTTTGCAAATTCAAGCAAAAATACATTTTGTCATCACTAATATCATGCATTATTTTACTAGTTGTTACATACATTTTCCAATTCAAAATGAATATATTAAGATTCAAGATTATAACAATAAAAGTGAAGGTTTGAAATTATAATTTAATCATTCAAAGTGTTAGAATATAAATGATATAATCTATTAATTTTGGAAATCAATGTAATAATGTATAAATTTATTAATTTGGCTGTTAAATATAATTTTCAAAAGGATTTCATTCTTTATTTAGATTTGAATGTCTAATTTATCATGACGTTCATGATAGTTTGTATATTGATTCTAAAGATTTACTTGAGCTAATTCATTTAATTACATCTTTTACTTTTTTTTTGCAATAATCAACATTTTTAATACAACCAAATGTACAAGAAAATAGTTAAGTGTGTTGGTTTATAGTTTTCTTTAACACTATTTTCATATATTTGTTGGGTTAAATTTTACAATGAACCTTAATTTCATTAATTTTTATAACATATTAAAACGTAAAACATTCAAGTTTATAAATTATGTCAATCTAATTCTTAAATTGGAAATGCAAATTTGGCACTGAATGATTATTTATACAATTCTTATTTTCTTTTCATTCGCTTTTATTGCGAGATCTGTAAAACTGTGATATTTAATTCTGATTTGAATTTTAAAGTTATTTTAAAGTGATTAATTTTATTTATTCAAAACATCAACCAAAATTAAAGTCATCAGTTTTCTTTTTTCAAATTTGATTAATATTTAACATGAAAATGATATTTTTATTATTAAATCACTAAAAAATATTAATTTATTTTGTCCAAATTCATAACTTCAAATTTTGAAACGATAAAAATGTATGAAAATATTGTGATTGATTCAATTTATATAAATTTTGTAATTTGTATCTATTTTGTATTAGAAAATTTAAATAAGTTGGTTTTTTTAAAAAAATGTAGTATAAATTTATTTTAAAATCCCGAATGGAAAGAAGTTAGCCGAGTTAGAACTGATGAGAAGATTCAGCTGTCCGACCAGGCTACTAGAAACCGGCAAAGACGTTTAGCCGCCGCCCACAAAGGTTTATAATAAGTTTAATGTATACAAATATTATTTCATAAAAATACACATTTTCATATTAGTGGCACTTTTTATAGAGAATTGTTTGTTTTTTCCACTTGTTTCATACATTTAAAAGACAAAGTTTTCATATATATTATGATACAATGCATAGATTCATTAATTGCAATGACTATAACCAAAGTCAAACTCAAAATAACGAATTTATATTATTTCAACATATATTTGATGTAAAATATGCGTTATTCATTTATTCCTACAGTAGTATTTTTAGGTAATAATTAATAATTTTAATTCACAAAATCACTATTTTGTATCATTGCATTAACAATTTTAAGTTACTCTTATGCGATATAAGTCTAATCACACAAACTATTCAAATGTTACAAAAGAATTGGGTTACATTGTAGGCTATGTGGATTCGAGATATGGCAAATATATTTAAGAAGCATATTCATTGCATATGTGATAATCTCAATTAGCACTTTGATATTTACTTAACAAGTACATGGATTACTCATGTGTTGCTCTTAATTTACACATTTTTTTGATTGGCTTAACAAGCACGATGAAAATACAACTGTAATTGATCATTCTAAGTGAATTTTTTCTCCATTTTGAAATTCTTTTCATTAAATTTAAAATATTTTTAAATATTTTAAATCTCACTCATTGTAAAATGTAAAACTTTCAAAATCTTGAAACATAAAAAATGATGATGGTTCGAGATTTTGATTCGAAAGTTGTGATGATTGTGATAAATTTTATTTTTTTATTTAATCAAATATTTCATTTTTTAATAATTACAACTTCAAATATGTTCTTTGAGTTCAACATTTTCTTCAAAATCCTTGTAATTAACAATCATAATAAACAAAATATGTCATGTTGATGAATTGTTGAATTTATTTGATTGCATTGCATATTTTTACAATTTTAACACATCAAATACAAGATGTATTTATATATATTGAAATAAAAAGTTTGTATCATAGTTCATCAACACATTTCAATATCATTTAAAAATATTGAAAATTTTAATCAATCTCATGTTAAACTTTAGATTTTTTCAACAAAATAAAAATTTATCGTAGATAAGCAACAAATTTGTGTGATCAACAATCTCTTATCGCTTAATGTAACTCTCAATTAATATATTTAGTAAAGCTATAATAGTTGTTAAGTTCATGAAAAAACTACTGTCATTTAAAAATAAACTATCAAAACTTTAAAAAATTATTGAATTAGCTCATCACATATATTGTAAATAAATGCATAACCAAAATTGGTAATGAATTAACACTTTGTCTTATTGTTTAGTAAAATAGTTATGAGTATTCAACTTAAGCAATAATGTATGATCAATTTTCACCACAACATTTTTATCATCAAAGTAATGTTTTTAACATTTATTCCATCAAAATGAATATTTCACTTTTTCTTTTGTGGATATTTGATTCATTTGTCACCAACTTTTAAGACAAAATAAACAACTCAATTTCATCTAGCGTCGCATTTTTGTTGAAACTAATTTTTGTTGAAAAGTGCAAGCTAATGCTCCTACGAACCCATGAGTTGATGAAACTTATTCTTACGACTTGAAATACTTCAAGCTTTGCTAAAATAAGACTATTCAATCAATATATTCAATGCATTATGAACTGCAAGGTTCACAAAAATCAAAAGTTGTTTGTGTTCTTTCACTATTTTATCTATGTCTTCTTGTTACCAAGAAAGTTTCACACGATTTTGATATTTTAGAACTAATAAACAACTTCTCATGTTTTCAGAGCTTCAAGTTCTTGAGTTAAGCAAGCTAGAAAATTACTAGCATCCACTTGGTTCAACTCATCACATGTCGCTTCTACCTTGATTTGATTAGTGGAAGTTTGTAATCATTTGATTAATGGAAGTTTGTAATCATAATCAATTTTTGACTCTACGTCGAGCTTTGCCAAGTATTGGATAGTGAATAAATCCTGATTTTCAATTAATCTAATCAGTTTGACATGACTAACTTTCCATCCGTCCAAGGAAATGATGTTGTACCCAAAGGATGAGTTTAAATCAATAACAACTTGCTCTACACATGCAAAGCGCTGTTAGTTAGCTAGCAAATTTTGGAGATTGACTTTTGCTGTTGCAAAGTGATTCTTCTTTCTTGTAAACCTTTCACACATTCTCTCACACGGCTTCAAAGCTCGCTTACAAGTGCAACCAAAATCCAATACAATGAGAGCAGGTCACAATCCGGTTGAGAACCATCACTGTGTTCAAAATAAGCCATGAGTTCAGATCTTCTTTTGACAAAAAACAAAATACACTTGACATTGAGGCCCAACAAATAGTAGATAAATTTGGACAAATGGCTTGCATTTTATCTATCAAAATCTTCTAATGTCGTTAAACAGAATTCAATGAGAACATAATCTTATGAAATTCATAACTAGCGTTTTTGTAAATCTTATGCATCACCATATCTATTTGATGCAACAAACACCAAACACGAATGAAATATGGTTTGAACATCTCTTGAATACGCGTTACAACTTCATATATATGTTCTATCATATCTGTAGCAACATCACTTGAACATCCAATTATCTTGTCCTTCCATAAGGTACAAATTGCAGCAAACAACTTGTTAAACATTTCAAACATAGTCAATTCTATATATCTAACACAAAAATAAAGTGTGACAAGGTGAAGATCTTCAAGAGAAGATTATGATAAAATAAAATTTGAACATCAATCCAAGAAACTTCTTGCAAGTCACACAATGCATCAAAGGCCACAAAAAAGTTCCATGCGGAGTGAAGTATCTGTGGGATATTTTTGATGGTTATGACGCAATTCTAACATAATAAGCAACCAAATATTCGCTACAAAATCCAAGTTTGGAGATTTCACATACCTCTTTTGCATCTTGAACTGCATCGGCAAACATAAAAAAACGCATTGCTTGTGCAACAAAACGAGTTACTAGTTTGAACTGTTGATTTTGGCTAATTTGAATACAATACTTGTCATCTTAAGTCGATTTAAAAAGTGACATTCTATTTGCTCGAGATTAACCATACAAATTGTTTTCACTCCATAGCATTTCTCCTATAATCACGTTAACAATCAAACTTCTAATAATAAAAGTATTATGGGCAGATTGATTATCCATAAAATCACAAATAATTTTGGCATGTTTGACTGAAAGTGCAAAATAATTTGACTTAACTTATGTTGAAAGCTTTTGATACTCTCTCCATCTTATTTGGTGACTGATGCAAAGATGATGCATGTAATTTTCTATTCTGAAAAGAGGCCTCTCAAATGTTCACGATGTTTAGTATTTTTTAGCAAGTTCTTCGCGTCCGAAACATACACAAAATCTGCACCTAATCGCCACCACTTTAGAAGATCTAGCATCTCTTGGCCAAAAAGTGCCGCGAGTTTTGCTAGATAGAAACTTTAAAAAATAAAATTATGACTATCGTTGCTAGAAGATTAAGGCTGCATCTGAAGATTAAGTACACTAACCTCTCAACACTCAAGGCTTCTCCATAGCCTATCACCACACTGAGAGTATACTTCACCACTGCCATGAGGCTAGATTCGACGAGGTTTATACATATGACAAGTGAAAAGAATGGGATCGCCAACCAGTCGGTCACGGGGATGGCAAATTGTAACACTACTCCAACGAATAAACATGCCCTTTCATAAAGTAAAATAACGATGCTCGCTTTGTTTAACCTGAAACCAATTTTTGAGAACTATTAATAGCAGTAAATTTGTTTACACCATTCTGATGTGCGAAGGATAGTGTTAGTAAAGCCACATAATGTCACAAATGGTCACAACGCAGTTTTAGTTAATACCTTACTTAGTTTCTCTAATAACATCTCCGAAATGAATGAAGACGGTTTTGTTACAAATATGGAACTTTCTGAAAACAAAATACGACACTTTGACTTTCAAGTTCCGTATTTTTTGTATTTACAGAGTCATGCTTATCACCATGAATAACAACCTTGCTTGAACGCAGTAGATGTCATGTCTCGTAAGGTGAGCGCTATGGAAATGGATTATGGTATAAGGTATATGCTTATATCTAGAGCTCTCATCGTTTTTCAAAGATGTTGACTTTATACATAAAACAAAGTTATTGAAAAATTATATATTATAACAATCATATTATGACATTAGGGCTAATATTATATAATTTAAAATTTTTGTTTGATTTTAAATGAGACCAAATATCTTGAAATTTATAAATATATGAAATAAATTCTTAGCTGCATTTTTTAAGTGATTCATATCAATAAATTAGTAAACAGATTGATTTTTTTAAATAGTGCATGCTTGAAGATAATGAATATTTAGATTTTCTAACAATTCAAAATATATGATACTGCAGAACTATTTATTCTTGCTTGGAAGGACAATTTTTGTTTACAAATAGAATTGTTATAACTCAATTTTACTTTTAGTATTATAATAATAATATATATTGTATTTACATACATATATAGCAAGATTTGCTCATTCATAGATTACATTTAGTGCTTAAAATCTTAAAATAAAGATTTTTTTCTTGAATTAGACTAATTATTTGCTATTGTCATGGATACACATAGTAATTCTACTCCTTGGATTATGAATATGTAACTTCAAAAAATCATGTAATTTGAGCTTAAATATATTATCACTGAAGTAATTTGGAGGTATGATAGTAGAAATTTACTGGACTAAATGTTTGTTGTATAGTTTCCATTGTTATATGGCTGTAGATATCAAATTGATTCCCCACAAATAGGTAAAAAATTATTTTCTATATATGTATTAGCCAGCAAACATGTAATCTATCATATATCGTACATAAACTAAATGTTTTGTCATCATTTGCACCATATGTGTGTGTTGCATATGTGGAATTTCTATATGCTTTTAAATACAAGATTGATTCTCACAAATTTAAAATGAATAATTCTCTAAATGTTTATCATAGAAATTATGTTATCTCTCATTTCGTATTCCACAATGCAAATGGATATGACAACAGCTGGCACCATATTATAGTATGCAGTTTCTTTCTCCAAACGACACATTCTACTCATACATGTAGAATCTGTTAAAGGAAAAATATATAGCACCAGCCTAAACATGAGTAAAACAAAACTGGAGCAAGGGAGGATATTGTAAAGACAACTTCTCTCTAAGATAGATGGTGTACAACCATAGCCAAAAGACAACTTCAATATTGTCAATAACAAAATGGATCTATCTAATTGATAATGCCCAGCTTAAGTCTAGAGTTGGACATGAATTCATCTTCTTTTGTTAAAGTAATTTCTGGAGCAACTGTTCGGTGTAGAGGACCAAGAAATGACGTAAAAATAGATTGTAAATTGTTAGCCCACGATTTGTATTCTCTATTTCTTTTAACAGCATAAGCTCTCTATTGGAGTATTCTCGCATTTGTCACTCGTATGTATGCCATGGAAGTAGGCTCCAAGACTTGTAAACCAGAGCAATGGGAAAGTTGGATGAGGCACAGGCAAAGGTGTACCTGGAACATCCATGTTCCGAATCTGACGTGCCGGGCCCGGCAGATGAGGCGAATGGCAAAGAAGGAGGGCTCCGAGTTCCAACCAAATCTGACTCACTCACACTGACGGCCTTTTCATTGTCTCCACTTGCTGCCTCGAAAAGGTGGAGGCAATGTCATCGAGTTGACGTGCGAGTTCCTCCGCTGCGAAAAAGGCGGCATCTTTTCGGCAGCCCAGATGTTCCAGAACTCTGGGCCGTGGGCGAGCGAGAGTCTGAAAGGACGAGTCGTGGACGAGGCATCTTTTGACAGCCCAAATGTTCCGCAACTCTGGGCCGAGACTCGTGAGCGAGTGGATCGAAGGACAGACAGGGCGGGACCAAAAGTCTTGTGCCCGCCGTCCCAATCGACGAGGAGTTTGGCTCGATCGTCTTGCGCATCGCACTCCCACTTTTCCACGCCCAGCAGATTCCTGCGGCGTTTCCGGATTCCCGAATCGAGGACGTCACTTCTGCGAAAGAGCTCGCACTGACCTGTCTGTTCCTCGCGAGGGCCTGGCCTGTCGACGACGGCACGCTTCGTGCTAATTCGACCCAATTGGCGACCTGCTCGATGGCCCATGTCTCTGAGGTGGTTACTCCTCAATCAATACGCACGCACCTCCGCGGCATGTCTGAATCTGCAGATAGAGACGTCGAGTGATCATTGACGCGAAGGTAGATTCGGGCATAATTCTGATAGGAAGAAGCTTCACGACATACAGTAACTGGTGAGGGCGCTTGCTATCGGCGTGGCGCAGTGATTAGCGATTGATGGACACGACGTTCGGTCTCCAACCCTCGTCTCCAGCTTCTCTGACGTGAAACAGCCGTTCATCTACTGGCTCGCCTATCTGGTCAGCAGGCCCGAGCACGGAAACTTCTGAGTTACGGAGTGGAAAGAGAGAATTTTTGTCAGTGGCTCCTGCTGGTGCCAATCACGTTGTATCGTGTATGGCAAAGTTATTTCGATGTCAATTCGTTGCATTGACCGGAGATTGTGATATGCGCTTTTGCAGAAGGAATTGGCATCTTTGACCTGTATTCTCGATTCTCAGATTCTCTGCATCCGGTGCGTCTCCCAAGTGAATATGTTAATCACATGTTAGCCAGAAGCACAGGACTTTTCTGTCCTCAGAGGCGTGCTCAATCCGCCAGAAGACTCCAATTTTATAAGCCCGAATTGTATTGACATTTTTCGAAGATTCCAGAATGTGCTTTTCAGCTGGAGATCGTAATGTACAGTGGACAGAGGGAAAGTCAATGACCGATTTCACAGAAGAACAGAAAAGGACGGAGTTGCACCTTTGAGTCCTCGCGACAAAAGTGAAGAACCTCTGCAACTGACTGACGGGCAACACAACTGAGAGAGTAGTTGGAACGGGACAACCATGTACAAAAAAGACCATGCAAGATAGAACGTCGACATCTCATGATGAGTGCGATTGGTGATAGCGTTTTTCCCTTGAAGTCGAAATTCACTTAGGCATACAAGTCATGACACATTCAATGTCCCGAGCAGATCCCATCCTTTCACATGTTATACATGTGCTAAGACTAGTCAATACCATCTGATTTTTCACTGAGAGGTCTCGCCTGCTTCTCACCGAGTATCTTTACATGCCGGTAGACCCAGTTTCTACACAATAGCTTGGCAAGACTTCTTAGATTACTTACAGGTTGTCTATCCACTTCCGCTGAGAAGCACATAGTTCAAAACCCATCTCGAAGACAAAAAAAGTCTTGAGATGGCAAAACAGGATCTCCTCTGCAGACTGTCGTCCATCGTAGTAGAAATGTATGGATGTTAACGTGTGTTATGAGAGCAGATTCCGAAAATGATGCACTGGACATTATACTGCTAACAGCGACTACTAAAGAAGAAGGTAGCAGGGGTATGAACATTTAATGCCATGTTTCATTTGCAACCCTTCTCAGTACAGAAGGACCGACTTGAACGAACTAGCGGTAAAGAATTGGACATCAGGGGTTTCGTAGCAACAAATTTGCACGATGGGTTATATGGACCTCAGAACGCGGCTTACTATGTACAGTGGTGGTGAATGCCTTCAAACTGACAAAATCTCCACACTTGATTGTTCGCCACGTACGAAAGCCCTGCAGATAGATTCAGGCACACATCTGATGTTAGACACACTCATGACATACTCCTCGACCTCAGTCAATCATGTGCAGTCAATCATGTGCCCGACGAAACACGAAGTTAGAGAGCACAATCTACTCGAGACAAAGTAGGCTCATGAAACCAAGCAATCAGCAAAGCTCTTTATCTGAGAGATTCAGCTCAACGGCACTTCCTGCCGCTGAAAGCATGCGACCTGTGTTTTGACCCAGCGTAGTTATCTTCCCCCTGAAACTAATTCACATCGTAGATACATCTATCCCCTCATTCGCAGAACGCTACTCCTTGGAAGGATGAAAAACATCAGTCAACTAGAGCAAGCCTGTCTCGACAAAAGTGGGCAAGTGTAGGATTTACCTTGGGGTAATGTACACAACTTGAGTGGCTTGACAGAAGAAAATTGAAGCCACCCTTTAATAAAAGCCAGTGGCTCCAGTATTTGCCAATTGCACGAGTCTTCGCAGACGAGGGCCTTCCCTTGTTTGATACATATTCATCCTTCCTTCAGGATATGCGTTTCGCAGGTTGATCAGATCACCACAAGTAACCATATAGACAGGGCTGAGCGCGCTTCAGACAGACGCATGATCTTGTGCTCCTGACAAAAAGCACTGGCCAAACCACATAAAAAACTTCTGTGACTTCGAGCTGATGCCAGCGCCTCGGTCGTTGCTGCCTTGCTGCTGGTTTTGGTTTGACATGATGAAATTTGGGGGCGCCTCCACGGGAGCACGGACGGGGGCTGCGGGAGTGAGAGGAGAACCCGGAGTACGAGGCGAAGGGAGCGTAGAGAGAAATGTGTTGAGCATACGCACAACTTGGGCAAAATTGGGTCGAATATCTGGATCTTCAGCCCAGCAAGACTGGAGAATGAAGACTAGGTCTTCGGGCAGATTGTCGGCAATCACTGGTCTCACCTTCTTGAAAGCTGCGGCATACGCAGCTTGAAGATTGGACATACCTTCGAAAGGCATGCGGTTCACTAAGAGCTCCCATAGCACTATGCCAAAACTGTAGACATCTACTTTGTGATTGTAATGCTTCTTCTCTCCATTTCTCAAGGTCACTGTGCTGTAAAGCTCGGGCGCCATCCACCTGTAAGTTCCCGTCTCTGCTGTCATCATCTCCGTCAATGTTTCTTCTCTCGCCAGTCCGAAGTCAACAAGTTTCACAACCTTCTGATCATCCGTTAGAAGCAAATTGTCAGGCTTGAGATCACGGTGAATGATTCCATTGCAGTGGAGACAGTCCATGGCTTGGGCAATGTCTAACGCAAAGCTCACAGCACAACGCAAATCCAATCGCTTGGGTCGAAGACCCGCCATATACTTGCGGAGAGACTTGCCCCCGAGAAGCTCTGTGACAATGACCATCACAGGCTCCTTGCATGCTCCTACAAACTTCACCAAATTTTTGTGTTCCACTCTACACAGCATGGCCACTTCCCGGGCAAATCGGGATTCCATTTTAGCCGACTCCTCGACCGTCTCAGGAGGCTGCAAAATCTTGACTGCGACATTTTGGTCCAAATACTTGCCCTCGTAAACTTTCCCATGTGCACCTTCCCCAATTTTAGCTCCCACAAACAACAGAGCGGGATCGATTAACCAGCGTTCTTCGAGTGAGAACTCGCTCAACCCGTTATTCGAACCAGGACTGTCCATACCCCCGTAAACATTTCTTGGACTCTCGGGTAGAATTCGTGCACCTCTTGCGGTCTCCTTCCTTCTAACTTTGTCATCGGACCCCATCCCTGCGCGCTCGGGACAGCACTCGTGGAATTATCAACAACGCAGCTCTGTCATAGAGCTTCACCAACACCAGGAAGTCCCAACTCCGCCAAATGGACTGTCATTGTCTCCAGTGGCTGCCCATCAGCACCCAGGCACACCAAATTGCCAACTCCAATCTACTGAGACTCGAAAAAATCGCACACATTATCAAATTCTACGAAAACACCACGAGGGTGAGGCAACCGGAGTAGACCACAGCACCGTCCCCGGCTGAACATGCCTTCCCCGACTCCACAGACCTAAAAGACCACGACAATCTGCGGTCTTCCAGTCGCAGAGGCTTCCACCATCGCCCACTCCCGTGGTGCTCTCACCTCTAACCTAATCACGCCTCATCGTTTCCCTCCTGAACAGCACCAAACCAGCTGCCGATACCTTGCGCTCCTCGTCCTCCGCAACAACAATGCCAGACACAACTCTCCCTCGCTTCCTCATCAGAATATCAGACTTCTTGCAGGACCTCCTCGTCCATTGACCTTTCATTTCTTTCCCGCACCCAATTTCAGTCTGTCCTCCCTAGTCTTCATCATCGCCTGCCAGAGCCGTCGTCGTCAAATCACCACGAAATCCCAGGGTAAGCTACCAGCACCTTCCTCCTGCTCCCCCCTCCCCCTCTCTCCCTCCTCTCGCCTCGCCTCGCCTCTCCTCTCCTCTCTAATTTTTCCTTCTCTTCTCCTCTCCTCCTCCTGCTGCCTCCTCACCACCGCCAGCCACAGCAGATTTGCTCCGCCCGGTCTATCTCTCTCTCTCTCTCGCTCGCTCGCTCTCTCTAACTCTGCTGCGTCGGGGGTTCTCTGGGGTCTCCTCGTCTATGATCCACCAGGTCGCCCATTTACTTGCGACGGGGAGGGGGGACGGGGAGGGGGGAGGGGGAGGGAGAGTGGGGGGGTGGGGGTTGGGGGTACTACAGCACCGCGTGGTCGGTCTCGCTTTGACAAGAGCGCGCACGCGCGTGCTTGGTAGGTGCTTTCTTTTGGTTCCCCTCGCCTCCCTCCTCGTCGCCCTCGTCGCCCTCGTCGGCCTCGCTTTACCTCGCGAGGACTTTTTCCGCCCTCCACCCAAAGTCGTAAACAACATTAGCCTCACGCATCCACGTGTAGGGGATGGGATGGATGGCCCGGCATGTCATGGGATGCGGCAGGAGGCCATGATGCTGCTGACGCCCGCAGGTTCTCCCCCCTCGCTATCTTGCCACTGTATCGCATGCCTTGGCATGGGCTGATGATGCAGCGCGGCGGGTGAGAGGGCCCCTATGGCCTAGCCCCTCTTCCTCCCCTCCCTCCCTCCCCCCCCCCCCCCCTCCTCTTCTCCTCGTCCTCCTCGTCGTCCTGCAGCTGCTGCCTCGCTCGCCCGCTCTGTTCGCAAAAGGAGGGGCTGCTGTGGCTTTTGTGTCGCTCGGGTGGGAGACCTACAAGTGTCGCGGGTGCCCAAGATTATTGCCCAAGGCTGGACGAGGCGCGAAAAATGATTGTTTAGGGGGCGAGGAGCGCAGCAGATATAATATTCGCCCGCGGGGCCAGTCGCGCGGAGCGATTTATTGGGTGGTCCGAGATATCTCGGAGCTTTTCTTTTGTGGGTGTGGCCTGAACAGGTGTGTGGTTTGGAGCACACGAAAATGCTCGTCAATCATATGGGCGTGGATTCTGTTAAAAAGGTGCCATCATGCGCAGTAAGTGAGCATCGGTACAAAAGTCGGATGTGGTACTTTCCTCCCGTCTCAATCACTGGCCTCGGACGTCTCGGAGCGTTTTCTTCCCTGGCGCTTTCCCGGCTTTTCTCTTCTTTTCCCGTGCCGGTAGATTCTTTCATTTCCACGCCTTCAACTGTTTTCCTGCTTTCGGACCGGGCAGATTTTGAGTAACATCGATGTCATGCAGTCTGCAGAATGACTTGTCCCCGTCTGTGCGCTCTGAGGCGCTATCCGAGAAAAGAAAGATTATTCAATCACAGAGCCAATGTAAAAGCGGAGAATGTCATTGTCATGGTTGCATGCCGGCAAACCTTCTGCACATCATGCAAAGAGCCGAAAGGATCTCTCATAGAAATAAATTGATTCCTGCCTTTTATTGACTTTTCGCCACCCTAAACCTTTTGTTTCGTGAGCCTGGAGCTTTCGAGAGGAAGATAACCATTCTGCATCCCAGTAAACATTGTGATAAGTATGTGTGTGGTGAGACGAGCCCGAAAACAATGCCCGCATTGATCTCGAAGCAGATACAGTGTTGCATGATTATCGGCCTTGTGCTCCATAAGCGTCGTCCTCCAATGTCCTCAGCGTAGAGACAGATAATCCCACATATCTATGCTGGAAGTTTGTAGAAACCTATGATGATTCCCATTTGACGAGCAGGATTTTGTTCAGATTTATACGCAGAAATCTATGCCCGTTAAAACTAGAGGAATCGCTTCGGATGGCATGCAGTTGGCTTTCTTCTTCACGGCATCATCATCTCTCTTTTTGTTTCGATTTCCGCTGAAACGAGTACGAATGTCAAGCCGATGACCAAACTTTGCTGACTATTGTGAGGAGTCCTTTGATCTTTGAGCCTCCTTATATTTAGGTTAAAATATAGGTCCAAGAACTCCGAAAGATTATTTTAGGCAAAGTCCAACGAGGAAATTCAACAGAAGTTGTTCGACCTTGGAACAACAAACAACTCCACAGTTCCCAAGGAGGTGGCCCGCTATGACTCCCATCATCTAAAAGAGATCAGCATCGAATCACGTTCGTATGTTTCCATCATTTGCACGGAGAGAGAGAACAAATCAATAGTCACGCTCGATATTGTGGACTGGAACGCAGTTCAATTACAAGGGGCCGGGAAGATATTCACCACGCCATGCCCAGGGTCTCAGCCAGCCCAGTCTAATTCAGGGGTAATCCAAGAGTAGGTTTTTGTGGACGAACTATAAAGTATGCAACGTACTGTTTCCGAGTAAACTACTACTGATCCGTACGAACAATATCAGGAGTCTAAAGATTGATGAACACCAAATTATTTAACGTGTGATACTGCTACGCTTTCTTGACAAATTTAGACGATCAGTGGGGTGGACCTGTTCTTTGTACATTGATAAGGTGACGACATGGATCAGTGCCCTTGTATGATCATTTACGTTTCTTGACCTGCTCTCCACCGAGGCCGGGATGTACAGTGCGGAGCTTTTCATATCTGATTCCACAAGATTGGCAAAAATATGATAACCACCTCAGAGAATCTGTGCAGCGGATTATCGTATCGACCATCGGAAGCGCGAGATCGACTGTAGCTGACGCTGATTGTAGAAGAGGTGAAGGAGATCGATCCACCTCAGACCCAACACCAGCTCTAGCTAAGCTTGAACTCGATGTTGGAGGTGAGCCAAGTGTTGGAATCCGGGATCGATGTCGAGCATGTCCTCAAGGCATCTCGAGGTCCGGATTGTGACTTTTCCTCGCTTATCGAAATCATTAGGTCATCATCGACATCTGCCATTTTTAGGCCTCGTTTATCCTGCGTTTCTAACAGACATAATTTCAGGACAAGTGACGTGGATTTCCACTTCGTGTAAGCAACGCCGAAGGCAGTTCATGGTGCAAGGGTTGAATCCTCCCTTTCTCTCAGACAGCTCTCATTCCCAGTCTCTCGCGGTCTCTTCATCCCCTGAAAGATTATGTTAGTTCGTGGGTCATTCATTTCAATGCACCGTCTTGGCACTGTTAACATCTATGAAATGTCGAAAGCTATATTCATCATCGTGCTCTCCATTAGGCAGTACCCTGTCAGAGATAGTTGCAGAGTTTTAAATCATTGCTCTCATTGAGCCTAAACATAGGGAGAAAGTTATACGTTCTCATCTAAAACTTCTAAAGTTATCTTCGAACGAATATTTAGAAAAGGTCCATGCAATTTACTACGACTAGACTTTAGTGTGAGAGCATTATAGTATCTCATGGAATAGAGAACCTCGTTCCTCACGACTCGGTTTTGTGTGTGTGTGTGTGTATTTTGCTTCCTCTGAAAGACCTTGACTTTAAGGGAACACCTTTTGTGTAGAAATTGAAAGCCTTTTTTCGAGTGCTTAGTCTATATATTGATGTTTCATAAAATTAGGAGGAACAACAAAATTTTGTTAAAGGATATATTGTTAGCTGCTTTAGGAACATCACTTGGATATCACATATGCAGTTACTTTCATTATTTTCCCTCTACTGCATTGGAATATATTTTATCAGCAGATAGCATTATTCTAAAAAGGAAGAAACTACAACAACATTTCGTCTACCACAAAAGCAATAAGTCAGTGTTTAGACTGTACCTTTTATCTACTTGATTTCATCACTAGATTTTGGAATTCTAGAAACCTCTGAAACAGAAGGATCTTTGAAAAGCGATAAGTCATGTTCTAGCAACTATGTTTGACCGCTTCGCCGTAGCCGAAAGGTGAAATAGTTTCTCCCAGGATTTATTACACTTTCGATATGACGACTTCAGGTTGATGAAACGAGAGGTTTAAGAGAGCCGGAACATCCTTCGAGGATTGAATGAAGCTTAGAAAAAACGAAAGGATTTTACCTCTCGTCGACAAGTGTCTGATCTGAGCATGAATGGAGTAACAGAATTTGGACCTGCTCCAAATGGTGGTCCCTCTCGCATATTCTTGGATACAATGATTGACTTCTTCTTGCACTGCATGGGTCAAACGTTAAAATCTCTCATTCGCCTCGAAATCTTTACTGGCTTCATGTTTACTATATGACTGTCCAGTACTATCAAGCATAATATCAAATGCCCACAGATTGCATATAACACGGTGAATATTTCTATTTTCTCGATTACAGCAGAAGTAACATTAACATGGGAACACCACTTCCATTGTTCTGCAATGCAACAGACGATAATCAACAACTTTGATCAAATTCCTTATGAACTTGTGGGTTACCTCCGTCCAAAATTCCTAAATTAATCATGTGGCTGTCTTTATTTCTTAAATTAAGATTGAAAGAACGTGTGTTATACACTTTCAATGGTGCCCTTTCCCTTGTGAAGTGCCGCTAATCACTGTAGCGCAGATCGCTACTTTGATATCTGCATCTTGAAACTAGAGGAAGGAGCACAGCAACTTCTGCAGACTGAACCCACCAATGGAGAAACACGTTGAGATTATCCACTACTGAGTCGTGATTGCCTACCCTTATACCCTCTCTATTCCGTCCTCGACTGCTCGATCATCATATTTTAACCTTCGGAAATCTTCCTATAACGCGTGGACTTAGACGCGGTTTAATGGCTGAGTTTGCAGATTACAAGAAGCGACATGAATGTTGTTAGACACGAGTTTGACTTTTTGTCCACTCGGCAACTGTCCCGAAACTCACCCAGCATAGATCCGTGACGAAGGTGGAGCACCCCTGCCAACCGAGGTTACTTGACTGCGGACCTCCATCGAACTCTGGGTCCCTGGTCAAGTCCACAATATCCATACATCATCACTCCGTCTTCCAATCGTCTTCATACGGAAACCTTCGCTACATGTACACTGTAATGTACGTGTACGACATGTACATTCCGAATAATAACCGTATTTGTATTCTTTTAACTGTACAAAAAGCAACAAACACCCAGTCGATAGAACATAAAGATACAATTTGGATGAAATGTGTAAACTGTAAGACAGATAACATAAACTAGTCATATATGTATGCTTCATGGTCATGACAATCAACATCTTATCAACCACATCAACGTTATACCATTACGCAGAAGCATTGTAAAGGAATTAAAGCTCAAACCCCAAATTTGTAAGTTATGGGCCTTGAGCAAAGCAACCAGGTTGTTCAAAGTTGTTAAAGTTTAGTTCAATTCCAGTGCTTTCAAATTTAAGCCAAAGTGCACACCAAACTATATATATATATATTATAGAATAAGTACGCTAGAGAGTTACGTAGCTCTTACAGGTG